CCTGCAGGCACCAAACCCACAATGTAGGTATGCACCCTGCCTTGGAATCGAACCCACAACCTTCTGGTGTACAGGACAACACTCTAAATAATTGAGCCTCCCAGCCAGGGCAAGATTCCTCCTTTTAACCAGCAAGTACAGCTGACTATTATCTAGAGCATGGGAAAAAAAACCCTAAAATATTGAAAGCAAGTCACTTTGTATTTCATCCATCAAAAATGTTGTATTCAGTTCAGAGGGCAGAAGTTTAGAAGACTAAGTGAAGGAAAGTGACCCAAGATGGTGAAAACCCTGGAAACCATGTAACAACACCAACAAAAAGATTGCTGCCCTGGCTGGCGTGGCTCAGTAGATTGGATGCCAGCTTGCAAACCAAGGAGTCACAGGTCCGATTCCCTGTCGGGGCATATGCCTGGGTTGCAGACCAGGTCCCTGGTTGGGGGCATGTGAGAGGCAACCAACTAGTGTCTTTCTTCCTCTCTTAAAAAAAAAAAAAAGATTGTTAATCTGAAAGATCCAGGACACATGATAGCAATGTTTCTAACATCTAGTGGTTTACACACAGCTACGAGATCAGAATCTGTTACAATGGAATGATAAGTAAAATATGAAGGAAGCAGATTTTAACTCAACATGTGATCCTTTTAAAATAGCTACATGTCATGGGAAGGGCTGGCTGCCTTAGGATCCAGTAAACAACTTGTTACTGGAAGTGTTAAGAACAGATGATGGATGAATGCTAAATGTTGATAAAGAAATTCCTGCACTGGGTGGTGATTACATTAGAAAATCTCTCAAGTCCCTCTTAACCAGAAATGTATACTACTGTTTGAAAACATTTTGAATACATAAGCTAAACAGGAATGAAAAACATCTAAACCAGAAACTGTCAATCAATAGTACTTACATATACCCATGCAGCAACACAGAAAGTGGCTCCCCCAGCTAACACAGCATTGCCATATTTGTCATGGAAATCAGGTGTCCGTTTCTGGCTGATCTGCCTTGCTGTTATTTGCTGAATGTTTCGAACTTAAAGAAAAAAATATACAGAAGCATATCTATGAATTATCAGGAAAAAGAACCTGTACAGTTGATATTGGTAAATGAGAAAGCCAAGGAAGTTAACTTTGCAGTATTATGCAGTTCAATATATATATAATGTTAAAACATATTGTAGCTAAAAGTACCATCCTGTGAAAGACATCAAAATAAGATGGACAGATAGAAAGATATGTGACAAAACAAATATACCAAAATGTTAACTATAGAATCTATATGGTGGATATGTGGATGTTCATCATACAACTGTTCCAACTTTTCTGTGTGTCTGAAAGTTTTCATAATGAAGTATTGGGGGAAAAACAAAAAACAGGTTATGTCAGTAACATTCACTACAAATTGCTATTTGTATTAGTTCTGGAACTTGGCTCCTATTCATTCACTTGAATATTTATGACTTAAAATTTCACTGAAGTTTATTCAGCAGTGCTCAACATAAAAAAAGACTCAAAATGGATGTCAAATTAAAGTGCAAATGTTCATGACCTTAAAATTGATCTCCAAAACTATGTTCAAGACCTCCAAAAACTAGAGTAATCTTGATTTTTAAAAAAATGACAAGTACATCACTATGCTAAAGGAAATGGTGTATATTAAAATGTGGAAGACATAGACCCTGTCCTTAGGTAACTTCCAGTCTATAGGAGGATGTTAGGCATGTAAACACAAATCACAGTAGGGTAAAAGTAGAATGTTAACTAAGTGCTTTGAATACCAGGCAGGATTTTGTTATATAGATATGGGAAAGAAGAATCTGAAAAGAGGCAGACAGAAAAACCCAGTGTATTAGAAAACCAATTCCCTTGTTTGTATAGACAAGCAATAGGGGGTAAAACTGAAAAAAATCATGGAGGGCCACTGTTTTGGTTGAGGTAAAGGTTTTTGAGCAGAATGACCACATTAAAACTTTGCTTTTGCTATCACTGCCTCTGGAAGAACTTAGGAGGGCTTGGGCAAGAGCCAAGACAGGAAAATGCATATTCCCAGCTGTTTTCAAATTCCCCTCCAATCTATGTGGCAGGTTCTTATTCTTTAAGAGTCCCCAAAGGTACTTACGTACTAATGGAAAGCAAATTAAAGAAACAGTCCTGGCTGATGTGGCTCAGTGGATTGAGTGCCACCAGCCTGGGAACCAAAGGGTCACCAGTTTCATTCCCAGTCAGGGCACATGTGTGGGTTGTGGGGCCCCAGTAGGGGGTGTGCAAGAGGAAACCACACACTCATGTTTCTCCTTCTCTTTCTCCTTCCCTTCCCCTCTCCCTCTAAAAATAAATAAAACCTTAAAAAAAGCAATCTTGACCATTCGCTAACTTAAGAATATAATTACTTCTACATGATACAAAGTGTTATTTCAGGATAGTTACTTCTTATTAATGGTTTTAACTGCCTTAACATTTAACTGTTGATTACACGTGGATGAACAAATTTACAAACATTTCACAATACATTCTGCTCTAGAGCAGTTAAAAAGTGAGTTTGTGAACTCCACAATGGAAAAAAATAATAAACCCAAAAAACCCTTTCCTGAGTTACCAGGCCTACCTGCTCAAAGGGAAAAAAAATTAATATTACCAAACAATTCTGCAGGGCCTCGTGACCTGAACACGCAAGTCGCCCAAGTAGATTTCTTTAGACTTCTCTGTGACAGTAAGTGCTTTAGTTACCATCTATTAGTAATCTCATAACCCTCAAGAACTTGATGGGGTAGGTTTTATTTAATAACCCCATATTTTACAAAGGAGGAAAATGAGGTTCAGAGAGGTTCACCCAATGTGAAACAGGTAATAGATGCAGATTTTGGATTACAAAATAACCCCAGCTGGGCAACTACTTTTTGGTTATTGTCAAAGCTATTTGAGTGTTCAGAACACAAGCTAGTTATACAGCTAGTTGTATCTCCAACTGCTCTGTAAACGGAAAATAAAAAGGTGGCTAAAAAAGCTAAATAATTGCTTAAAGTAACTTTCATTGTTAAAAAAAAACACTACCCGCTTTACTCAAGGTCACCTTCATTGCAAATGAATCATGGAAATTACTTTCCTCTCTTCAATCCAGTGCATCCCAAATACATAATCCTGGCGTCAAATTTACCCTGCACCTTCCTAACTTTTCGATGAGAAATAACCCACCAATAACAAAAAGCTGCTGGACTACCATCCGGGTTGTCTCCCTGCGCTAAAACCACATGATGAGCTAGATTTACAGCTTCCATCCATGGTTACAGGAGTTCTATTTGGGGGTAAATGTACCCACAAAGCTAAAAATTAAGGAAATTACTTAAGGAACGAAGAGGTGTCCATCAAGCATATTTTTCTCTGAAATCGTAGGTTACTACTGAATAATAAAAAAGGGCTAAGGTATGATTCCGGTAACTGAAAGAGCTGTGAACTGCAACAATAACACTGGGTGATTAAGCTAATAATGCTAAGGACATCTTTCCAATGTTAAGGCAAAGTGAGAAACCACCGGTTTAGAACAGAAGGTCGGGATGCAGGTGGAGGGAACCGGACGGGAAAATACGAGGACAAAGGGATAAAAGGTCGTTGGAAATTATTTGTCTACAATTTTTCTCACCTGGAAGACGACTTAGCGCGTTTTTTGCCAACGGAAACATGGTGAAGCTGAAGAGTTAACTGTAGCAACCGTAGCTGCTGGTTTGCTGGAACTTCGTTTCAAGTACCCTTGCAATGAACCCTTGCAAAGAACCCTGAAAAACAAAATGGCTTCCGGCAGGGTGCATCAATGAGATTTAATGAAATCTCGCGCGATCTGTGAAAACCTATAGAAATTGTAATCTCTTTAAAACACGGAGACAAATGCCTTTTGGGAAACGTAGTTTTAGGTTTTATAAATGACCTACGCTGGTATTTACTGAAGAATGAGACACCTCTCCCACAACCTTGAACCCAAGATTAGGGCCCTTTAGAGGAGAGCTGAGATACGTAGTGTTTCAGAGGTTTGAGTTTGTGTCTCGCTCCACACTAGCAATTCTTTCTGTTCCATACAAACGTCCTTCACTCCTTTGATTTTTTTGTCTCCTATTACTACATACTAAGTCATTTAACTTCTACTTTTGAGATGACTTCAAATTTAGAGAAAGGGTGCAAGAATAATAAAAAGAATTCATAATATGAAGATAGACGTGATGAAGCCAATTTAACAAACTGTCCATTGTAGAATCTTGCTGGGTAGTCACAGTACAATTCGTACACTTTCTAAAAGATTTCATTTATTTTTTTTACAGAGGGGAAGGAAGGAGAAACGGGGAACAAAACATCGACGTGCAAGAGAAACCAACCGGGTGCCTCTCGCACGCCCCCAACTGGGAACGAACCCTCAACCCAGACAGGTGCCTTGATTGGGAATCCAATCAGCGACCTTTTTCTGTTTGATGGCTGATACCCAACCAACCGAGCCACACCAGATGGGGCTTGTTCTTCACTTTTAAAAATCTTCCTCGGTGATATTAAGTATGTTTTTGCTTTCTTGCTTTTTAAAATTATTTTTATTTGAAATAATTTGACGGCAAAATAAGGGGCCAAGAAAGATGCTATCATGCTATCGATCACATTTGATAGTCCAATCACATAAGTCCAATTTTTCTAGGATATTACATGAAAGACGTGGATTTCAAAGACTTCTAAATGCGTCTCCGTGGAAAAAAACATTCTATCAACCTTACGCCAGCTTGAACTTCGAAAAGCCGCAAAGCTTCCCGATTGCGCACGCCCGACGGAAGAGCCTAAAAGCACGACCTCTTTAGGTAAAAGGAAGGGGCGCGCCATTATCCTCAGCGGACCAATGAAAAACCTCCAGATTATCCTTTTTCTATTGGTTAACAAAGACCAATTAGAAGTGAACCGTCTTTTAGCGGGCGTCTCTCAGTAGAGCGTAGTGACGTAATGTGAAAGGTCGTGGTGTAAGGCCGAGCTAGACCAATGAGCAGGGCCAAGGGGTTGGGTTGCTTGTTCTCACGCCCAACCCGCAGACTCAGCCCGAGGAAAGTTTCGCTTTTAAGAGGGAGAGGAACAAACATGGCAGCGCATTCAAGGCGTTTGTGTGTGTCTGCGACCATTGCGTTGGTGCTGCTGCTGGTTTATGAGGTTCCCTTAGCCTCTGCCCAAAGAAAGAAGGAGGTAAGGACGCTGTTTCCCGCAACACGGGCTTTTCCCAATGAGTGGGGCTTGAGAGGGTCTGTTCTCTTTCTCGACCCCCCTTCACCGTCGGTTCTGTGTCTTTGGCGGCTCCAGTTCCACCGTTCCTGGAATTGTGGGGTTTTTCAGATAAGAAACTAACTCCTTGTCTTCTGGGGATGTAGAGTCTGACAGTGGGGTGGGGTATGTGATAACCTGGTTTCTCTAGGCCTGTGCATGGGTATGGGCTCCATCAGTTGGTGAGGGAAGTTGGACTTTAGGTCCAGCGGGTAGAAAATCTGAGTGTTCTGCTGTCAGTAGATGTAACTCCGTTTATAGACACGTAAGAACAGATTATAGCATTTGCATTTCAGAGATACAAGAATTAAACTGAATTGTGAAACTATGCCAGGTTTATTACATTGTCCAAACAATTGATTCAAAGCAATTTACGGACGCAGAAGCTATTACACCGTTTCGATCACTTACCAAATACCAAGCATGCCAGGCACTGTCCTGGGACCTTAGTATTCATAAATAAACAAAACTAAGATTCCTCGTGGAATTTACTAGCTTTAGCAAGTGGAGGGGATAACAGTATACTTCCCTCACAATTAAACAATCAAAACAGGAACTTTAACACCGTGTTGAAAGAGTTCCAACTTAACCCTGGTGGTTTAGCTCAATGGACTGAATACGAACCAAAGAATCACTGGTTTGATTCCCACGTAGGGCCTATGCCTGGATTGCAGGCCCGGTCCCCAGTAGGGGGCACATGAGAGCCAACCACATCTTCATATTTCTCTCTCTCTCTCTCTTTCCCCCGCCCTTCCCCTCTCCCTAAAAATAAATAAAATCTTTTTTAAAAATATAGAAACACTTTAACTTTTTGCCTTATGTACTGGTATTGTCTGAATTTCCACAGTGACCACTTATTTTTAAATAAAAAAGTGAAGATTTTAAAATACTAGTATTTCTACTAGTTAAGTTATGCTTATTCGAGAGAGGAGAAGAGAGGGAGACAGACAAAGGGAGAAACATCGATGTGTGAGAGAAACACCTATCGGGCTGCCTCCTGAAGGGACCTGGCCGAAAATCCATGCATGTGCCCTGGCTGGGAATTGAACCATGAGCTTTTGTTTGCAGGCAGGTGCTCAAACCATTGAGCCACACCAGCCAGGGCTATATTCATTTAATCTCTCACTGAACTAGAAGCAGAGGGGCCTAGCAGGAGATAAATTATTTTAAAAATGAATCAGCAATGAATTATATACTTTAAAAGTTAACATGGTGGATTTTGCTATGTGCATTTTATCTCAAAATTTTTTAGAAAGTTTTCAGATTCTAACTCCCTTTCCATCATGCCTCCTGTTAACACCCTTATCACTCTCAAAAATTTTGACTGGTCATCCTTAAATCCATCCTTCATAGTGTTGTCAGAGATGAAAATGAAATTCTGAAAATCTTTTCACCTATTTTGCAAAGTATAAAAGGGCTTCTGTAGCCTGTCTCCCTGGTCTGTTTCTTCCAGTCTCGTCTCAGTCCCAAATCCTCCTTGTACTAGTCATATTGAATTATGTGCCTTCCTTGGTCTTCTACATTCTCTTGTATCTGTAACTTGCTGGACTTCTGCTGGGGTATGTCCTCTCACCCCAGCCCCTCATTCATCTGAGGTTTACTGCTGTTCAAATCTTAGCTCAAACATTACTCTCTTAACTAAGCTTTTCCTGGTTCCCCCAGGTGAACTGAGATCAGTTCAGCATATTTTATTATCATTGTTCACATACCAGTTTTTCCCAGTAGACTGTGAGCATCTTAAATACAGATACTTATAAATTAATTTTTCTTTCCCTACCACCCAGCAGTGTCTGTCAAAAAGGTCCTCGGTAAATACCTAATTAATTAATTAACTGAATGTATATAGAGTCACGACTCTGTTCTTTCACTTGCAGGTTTCACAAGCTAAAATTGGATTTTCTCGTCAGTAAATAAGGGATAAATATAGGCTGGTAAAGCTGCTTTAGACTTTACCCCTTTACCTTCTAACTGAGGATGTTTTAGGCTTAAAAAAATTACTGTAATATTCATGTTCTGACCTGGCTAGTGTAGCTAAGTAGACTGAGTGCCAGCCTGCGAACCAAAAGGTTGCCGGTTCAATTCTCAGTCAGGGCACATGCTTGGGTTATGGACCAGGTACCCAGTAGGGGGTGCATGACTGTCAACCACACATTCATGTTTCTCTTCCTTTCCTTCTCCCTCCCCTCTCTCTAAAAATAAATAAATAAAGACTTTAAAAAATGTATACATGTTCTGTTGCAGAACACTTAGGGTTGTTTTTGTCAATATTTGAACATTTTATTTTAACAAAATCCCAGGTCTACCTACCATAGTAGGTTTGGCTTTAAACAGGGGGTAATATTTGACCTTATAAGTATGCTTTTTTTAAAAGACACATTTCCTAAATGAATATAATTAAAAATCGCTCAAGTTCCTTGTGGGTGCCTGTTGTTAAATGGAATGGTACCCTACTTCTCTGATTATTTATACTTGTACCAGTGTTTTCCCGGGAATGTTGTTGACTTATTCTCTGATATTTATTCAGTGCCTTCTCTATGTTAGGCACTGTGGTTTACATGCATTATCTGTAATCTTCCCGGTAACCCTGCAGAGTAAGTATTAACCCCTTTTGAAAGATGATGGAACAAGAGAGATGCTGGGGGTTTGTCTAAAGAAGCACAGCTCTAGAGGCTGAGCTGGGATTCCATCCCTGGTCTGACTCCAAAGCCTATGCTTTCTGCCAGGCATGAAGGTTTGTTTTGTAGTGACTTGTTTTATTTTTACGGTGAATTATTTTCTTCCTGTAGTAGAAGGGAGGTTGCTTGTCCTTGCATCTAGTGGTGTTTTGGGGAGGCAACGTGATAAAAATGAAAAAGCATGGTCTTTGAGAAAATTGTTTATATTTTTTATCTCTTTATTGATATTAAGGGGAAAGGGAGGAAGGGAGAGGGAGAGAGATAAAGAAACATCTCCAAGACTGGAGATTGAACCCCAAACCTAGATACCATATTTTGCCATGTATAATGTGCACCTTTTTTTTTTCGATTTTTAAAATTAATTTATCTTTATAGGGGAAGGGAAGGAGAGAGGGAGAGAAATATCAGCGTATGGTTGCCTCTCTTGTGTCCCCTGCTGGGACCTGGTCTGCATCCCAGGCACGTGCCCTGACTGGGAATCGAACTGTGATCCTTTGGTTCTCAGGCCCGCGCTCAATCCACTGAGCTACACCAGCCAGGGCATATAATGTGCCCTTTTTTTGCCCAAATTTTTGAGGGAAAAATAAAGGATGCACATTACACAGAGGTATAATAATGACTATAATAACCTCATGTATAACGTGCAACAAACGTGGGTGCGCATTATACATGGCAAAATACGGTAAGTCTTACTGTGAAAATTCTTTGCATTTTAGAACTGTTCTCAATGAGGAAGGGGGAATTTCGCTCCCCAGGGGTTATGTGGGAATGTCTGGAGGCATTTTGGGTGGTTGTAGCTGGGGTTAGGGGTGCTATGGGCATCCTTGGGAAGAGGTTAGGGATACTGCTCAACATCCTGTGGTGTGCAGCTCAGGCTCCCACAACAAGTAAGGATCTGGCCCGCGCTCAATCCACTGAGCTACACCAGCCAGGGCATATAATGTGCCCTGTAGTGTCAGTAGTGCCATAGCGAAACCCTGGTGTAGAATGATCATGGGCAGCTTGAGTCCTAGCTCTGTCTTACTAACCTGGGGCATTTTCGCCAAGTCGCTTAACCGCTGTGATTCTGCTTGCTCAACAGTTAAATGAGCATAAAAATAGAGTGCCTCACAGTGTTTTGAGGTTTGAATTAAATTCTATACCCTATAATGAGAGAAGTTGTTACCTGATACATACATAACTAGGCGTTCCAAATACAGCAGGTTCCCAAATAATGTCCTTTTGTTGTTCCTTATAATGTAGGAAACTGAACTCTTGTTTACATCAATTACCCTGTGTTAAAATTGGGTTTATTATACCTTGTTTTACTTAAAGTCACAGAACCATTGAATGATGGTAAGCTACTTTAGTAGCTGCTATTTTCTAAAAAAAAAAAAATCAATTCAAGAGATGCTTACTTTAAGATATATTAAAATATTAGATCATTATGAATAAGGATTATAACTTGTGATTATTATGTTCCAGGCTATGTTTTATAATTTTATTGTAAAAGTTTAAAACTAGTTTGTCTTTTCATTGTGATCTATCTTCAATTCATTTTAAAGAAAACAAACTCAGAAAGTAACCTAATGGCACCTCTTATTAAGCAGTCTTTTGAGGTAGTAATCTCATAAAAGCTTTTAGAGAATTTGTTATTACACAGAACTAATTTCTTATACTGGATAAATTCTTTTGAGATTGAATAGCCAGAAATCAGGTCTTTCCAGTCTGTTAATAAACAGGATGAGGAATATTGTAAATGTTTTACATAGATGTAATTACAAATTTATTCAAGACTTCTTTAAGAAGACTCCACATATTTATAGTTAACTCAAAGTACATACACTTCTTTCGTTGGAATGATCATATACCTCTGTGATTGAAGAGAGATAGACTATATAAACAACTATTTCATTACTTGTTACTGCTTTACATTTTTTTAAATATATTTTATTGATTATGCCACTACAGTTGTCCTATTCTCCCCCCTTCATTCCCCTCCACCCTGCACACCCCTCCCCCACCATTTCCCCCTTTCGTTTTTATCCATGTGTCACAAGTTCTTTGGATTCTATATTTCCCATACTATTCTTGCCCTCCCCCTATCTATTTTCTACCTACTGTCTATGCTACTTATTCTTTGTACCTTCTCCCCCCTTTCTCCTCCTCCCACCCCCCCGTTGCTAACCCTCCATGTGATGTCCATTTCTATAATTCTACTCCTGATTTAGCTGTCCTCTTAGTTTGATTTTGTTTTAGATGTGGTTGTTAATAATTGACTTTGCTCTCCTTTCACTGTTTATATTTTTTACCTTCTTTTTCTTAGATAAGTCCCTTTAAGATTTCATATAATAAGGGCTTGGTGAAAAAAAAAAAAGGGCTTGGTGATGATGAACTCCTTGAATTTGATCTTATCTGAGAAGCACTTTATCTGCCCTTCCATTCTAAATGAAAGATTTGCTAGATAGAACAATCAATCTTGGCTGTAGGTCTTTCGATTTGATGACTTGAAATACTTCCTTCAAGCCCCTTCTTGCCTGTAAGGTCTCTTTTGAGAAATCCGCTGACAGTCTGATGGGGACTCCTTTGTAGGTGACTGTCCCCTTAGCTCTTGCTGCTTCTAGGATTCTCTCCTTCATTTTAATCTTGGCTGATGTAATTATGATGTGCCTTGGTGTGTTCCTCCTTGGGTCCAACTTCTTTGGGACTCTCTGAGCTTCCTGGATTTCCTGGAAATCTCCTTCCTTTGTCAGATTGGGGAAGTTCTCCTTTATTACTTGTTCAAATAAGTTTTCCACTGGTGGCTGTTCCTCTTCCCCTTCTGGTACCCCTAAATTCGGATGTTGGAATGTTTAAAGATGTCCTGGAGGTTCCTAAGCCTCTCCTCATTTTTTTTTTTGAATTCTTGTTTCTTCATCCTTTTCTGTTTGGTTGTTTGTTTCTTCCTTCTGGTCCACTCCCTTGATTTGAGTCCCAGTTTCCTTTCCATCACTGTTGGTTCCCTGTGCATTTTCCTTCATTTCGATTAGTTTAGCCTTCATTTTTTCATCTAATTTGTGACTAAAATCAACCAGTTCTGTGAGCATCCTGATCCCCAGTGTTTTGAACTGTGCATCTGATAGGTTGGCTATCTCTTGGTCGCTTAGATTTATTGGCTCTGGGGCTTTGAGCTGTTCTTCAGCCACAATGTTTTGGTCTGTTCGTGCCTGTTATGATTGAGGGGGCGGAGCCTTAAGTGTTCACAGGGGTGGGGTGACCCAGGTCGCTGGTTTGTGACGTTTATGTGGGGGCGGGGTCAGAGAGGGGCAATGGCGTTTGTTCCGCTCTCTCTCAAGATTTCAGTCCCCTCTGCTGCTTCCTGCAAGCAAACCTGGCCTCCCTGGTACCTGCTCCCGGGTGTGTGGGTCTGTGCACCCTCCAGGACCCTGTGGGTCTCTCCAACAAACTCTCTGTGAGCCTGGGATCTTCTCCCAGTACCTCGACCCCTGAAAGTTTTTCCAGTTGGTGCCTTTAGGCTTTCATTCCTGTCACTGGGGCCCTAGCCTGTGCAGTCTGTCTCACTGCTCGCTCCTTTGCTTGGTTTATCTGCATGGGAGTATGTGACCGTGGTCAGCTTTTCGCCCTCACTGGGTCTGCCCGTTGCCACCCCACGCCTGGGATCCGCCAACCACCGCCTAAGCTCCTGTGCTCCTGTGTCCTCCGGCCAATCTTACCTGCACAACCCCGCTCCACCGCTGACTCTGCCCCTCTTACTGGTCTGGCTGAATGATTCGTTGTTGTCAAACTTAAGTATATTTCAATTTTCTGTGTTTTGGCTGTGTTTTTGTTACTAAAACTTTGTTGTCTTTAAACTTGGTTGTGAGAGGAGGCACAGTGTTTCCACCTATTCCTCCATCTTGGCTGGAAGTCCTGCTTTACTTTTTTTTGTCTAAAATACTCCAAGCACAGACAATCGCAGTTCAATTCCCAGTCAGGGCACATGCCTGGGTTGCAGACCAGTTCCCTGCAGGCCAGTTCCCAGCAGGGGACGCACAAAAGGCAACCATACAGTGATGTTTCTCTCCCTCTTTCCTTCCCTTCCCCTCTAAAGATAAATAAATAAAACATAAATAAAATAAAATAAAATAAAATAAAATAAAATAAAATAAAATAAAATACTCCAAGCAGAATCTGCAAACTATGGTGAGTAAAGTATGCAAATTATGTTTGTCTTTTCATCCTCTTCACAGGGTCTTTCACAGAGCAAAATTTCTAATTTTGATGATGTCTAGTTTACTATTTTGTTATGAATTGTACTTTTTTTATGATTGTGCTTCAGATCTAAGAACTTTGCCTAGCCCTTGATCCTGAGCATTTTCTCCTTAAAAATTGTTTCCTTTTTTAAAAAGAATTTATTTATTTAATTTTAGAGAGGGGAAGGGAGAGAAACATCAATGTGTGGTTGCCGCTCACATGCCCCCTTACTGGGGACCTGGACTGCAACCCAAGCATGTACTCTGACTGGGAATCGAACCAACAGCCTTTTGGTTCACAGATCCATGCTCAATCCACTGAGCTATGCCAGCCAGAGCCTCCTGAAATTTTTATAGTTTCGTTTTTAAGTTTCAGTATGTGGTCCATTTTGAGTTAATTTTTGTATAAGGTATGACATTTACTTCAAGGTTCATATTTTTGGCTATGGGTATCCATCCAGTTGCTCCTGTACCATTTGTAGAAAAGGCTCTCTCCTTCCTCTACTGAGTTGCTTTTGTACCCTTCTGTAAAATTAGTTGGCTATATTTGTATAGGTCTGTTTCTAGGTTCTTGGTTCTGTTCCATTGACCTATGTGCCTACCTCTTTATCACTTCAACCCCGCCTTGCTTACTATAGTTATACAGTAAACCTTAAAATCTGGTAGAGTGATTCTTTCCACTGTATTCTTTGTTTTCAAGGTTGTTTCAACTATTCTAGTTTTTCTTTGTGTGTGTGTGTGTGTGTGTGTGTGTGTGAGAGAGAGAGAGAGAGAGAGAGAGAGAGAGAGAGAGATAAGCAAAGTGTTGCATAAAACCAGCCACTTGTGCCCTGGCTGGTGTAGCTCAGTGGATCGAGCATAGACTGTGAACCAAAGGGTCACTGGTTTGATTCACAGTCAGGTCACATACCTGCATTGTAGACCAAGTCCCCAGAAGGGGGCACACAAGAGGCAATCACACATTGATATTTCTTTCCCTCTCTTTCTCCTTCTCTTCCCCTCTAAAGATAAATAAATAAAATCTTAAAAAAAAAAACCAGCCAGTTTCTTTAACTCCACATTTTTTGGAATCTTTGGCAAATGTGAAATGGTTTATGATTTGATACCATTTTGTTTATTAGTAAATAATAAGCATTTCACATCAGAAGTATAGTATTTGATTAAAATTTCATCATGAAATAATGTAATTTTAAGAATAGTTATCATCATCAGGCCCAACTCCTAAAATTTATATTTAGGTCTCTCACATTTTCTTTGTACCTCTGCTTGTTATTCTTGATGTAAAGTTGCCTGGATATAAAGGACCCTTAAATGACAAGTTGAGAGTATTACTAGCACACTCCCTTTGTTTTCTTTTTTTTTTTTTTAGATGGTGCTTTCGGAAAAGGTTAGTCAGCTGATGGAATGGACCAATAAAAGACCTGTAATAAGAATGAATGGAGACAAGTTCCGCCGCCTTGTTAAAGCCCCACCAAGAAACTACTCCGTTATTGTCATGTTCACTGCGCTCCAACTTCACAGACAGTGCGTCGTGTGCAAGTATGAACCTTCAACTACATTTTCAAATTCAGTAACTCATGAGATTTTAACCATTTTGCAATCCCACAAGAATTAAATTAGTTTAGTGGGTACATAAGTAATGTGTATACCTTCCTTAGTACTACTGCTTTTTCAGTCATTTCATGATCGTTAGTGGGAGGAACAAAGAGGAAGGGTAAAGTATTGTAGCAATCATAGGAATAAATCTAAGAATTATCTTCTAAATTGTTATCAACTTATATAAATATATGCCAGTAGCATTGATGTACTGTTTTATTATTTGTAAGTGTTTTCCACTTCATACTCTTGTCTTATCACAACCACCTCAGAAGGTAGTAAAAGAAATATACTCTTAATATTGGGAGAAACAAATTCTAAATCTTAACTGGTTTATGCAGAGCTAAAGATAATTTATTAATACAATAATGGTCGCTACAACCAAGTTTAGAATTACAGGAGAACTTTTTTAGAAAACCAAGTTGTATGATTTAGAGATGTTTTTCTTTTTTTGTTTAATCCTTACCTGAGGATATATTTATTGATTTTTACACAGAGAGGAAGGGGAGGAGACACAGAGAAAGAGAGATAGTGAAACATCCATGTTCAAGATTAGTTCCCTATTGTGTGCTCCCTGACTGGGGATTGAACCCGCAACCTTTTGGTGTATGGCATGATGCACCAACCAACTGAGCCACTTGGTCAGGGCAAGATGTTTCTTTTTTTTCTACATTATTTGGTGATGGTGGTAAACCTTGAAAATAGAGACTAATTTCCCTTAAACTCCCATCAAATAATGGTTTATTGATTTTGTTTCACCGTTTCTGAGTGATGTTAGGAATAAAGATAGTTTTTTCTTTAAATGCTACAGATAATTAAAAATAGTGGATACTAAAAAAATGGAATACCTTTTGCCTTTCAGTGTTCTTGGACTTTTTTTTTTACACTTATATTTTTAGATCACTATGTGTGATCTGGGAATTTATTTTCAATGAAATGACAAGGCTGCCCTGTGGAGAACTAATTTAGTAAAACCTTGGAGGCTTTCCAAATTCTGCCAGCCCGGGCCCATGTGAAGAAATAGACAGACTCCTTTCAATAGACCCCAAGCCTTGCTAATTCTTCTTAAAGGATTTTCTCCTTGGAGGTAGGAGATAGTCAAGGTATTTGGTGCCAGAGTGCTTATTTTATGGGTTGTGTGCTGAATATAAATTGAAAATAAATACAAGAAGGAAAAAGAAAAGTAGGTATTAACTATGAATAAACTTAAAATCTAGAATTAACTTATAATTCAGTCAGTTTACTCACTGGCAGTCAACAATGTACAAAAATGTCAGGAAATAAACACAGATTCCATAATACTGTATTGCGTGCAAATGAATGAACTTCATACCAACCTAAGTTTTTATTTGTCTCTTACTTTCTTTTTTTTTAATATTTTATTTATTTATTTTTCAAGAGAGGAGAAGGGAAGGAGAAAGAGTAGGAGAGAAATATCAATGTATGGTTGCCTCTCATGCATCCCCTGCTGGGAACTGGCCTGCAACCCAGGCATGTGCCCTGACTGGGAATCGAACCGCGATACTCTGGTTTGCAGGCCCGCGCTCAATCCACTGAGCTACGCCAGCCAGGGCTGTCTCTTACTTTCTACAAGACCAAACTTAAAATTAGGTCACATTTTCCTAAACTCACAAAACATAAAATTAAGCAACAACAGTACATTTAATACTATATATTTGGTGTTATCAGGATGAGAAGTATAAGAAAGTTGACCTACTCTCATCATCTGGCTAAGGAAGTGAATTCCACACATGGAAATTTTACTGAGAATATAATACAATTTATGATTTAATACCTTGTGACTTGTGTATATAATAATTACTGTAAATTTTCAGGAAGGACATATAACAGAAGTGGTTAGGGTTGGCCTGAGGAGAAGATAGTACCTTGTACTAGGACTAGAAAGATGGATCAGATTTAGATGGAAGTAAGATATTCTGATTAGAAGCAATGATGTGTACAGGGGTACACAGATAGGAATAAATAAAAAGCTGCAATGAAGATACAGGAATAAATAAAAAGCTGCAATGAGGATACTGTGTTTGAACCCTGGTTGGTGTGGCTCAGTGGATTGAGCACTGGTCTGCAAACTGGAAGGTCACAGGTTCCATTCCCAGTCAGGGCACATGCCTGGGTTTCAGACCAAGTCCCCAGTTAGGGGTGTGTGAGAGGCAGCCCATCAATCTCATACATTTTCTCTCCTTCTCTTTCTCCTTCCTTTCCCCTCTCTCTTAAAGTAAATAAATGAAATCTTTAAAAAAAGATATTCTGTTTGAGATTGATTAGTAGAAAAGCTACTTAAAAGCTAGATGCAGACCTGCCTGCCGTAGCTGCGGTGGGGGGTTGGGCCTTGTCCTGCAAACCAAAAGTTCACCAGCTTGGTAACTGGTTGGCAGTGTACGAGAGGCAAGGGATCAATGTTTCCTTCTCACATCAGTGTTTGTTTCCCTCTCTTTCTCCCTCCCTTGTCCTCTCTCTAAAAATAAATGAAATCTTTAAAGAACAAATAAAAGCTAGGTGTATTATTTGGAATTAAATGATAAAGAATATGGAATAACCAGTGGAAGAGCTTGGAGACTGTGTTCTGAAGGTAATAGAAAAGCACCAGGTTCTGAGGAGTTTATCATCTGTATACTTTCTCTGGGAAAACATTTCAACCTTGACTTTGAACTCTTAGAAGTAACTTAGGGTGCCCTGGCTGGTGTGGCCTGGTGGATGGAGCACCGGCCTGCAAACCAGAGGGTTGCCAGTTTGATTCCCAGTCAGGGCACATGCCTGGGTTGTGGGTTAGATCCCCAGTAGGGGGTGTGCATGAGAGGCAGCCACACATTGATGTTTCTCTCCCTCTCTCTTCCTCCCTTCCCTTCTGTCTAAAAATAAATAAAATCTTTTAAAAAATAAGTAATTTAAGGTATTAAAATTTGTTGTAGAGACAATTAGCTGCATTTTCCAGTGACTACTGAAGGGGTTTGAGATAAGAAATGGTCACATAATATGAGGTGCAGACAGGTAATTACCACTTTCTGTTGAAATCCCCAACACTTGTGTATGACTTCCCTTAAGCCAAAATGGCAGAGTTTGCCAGCATTTGTCCTAACACTGTCCCCAGAGCCTGACTTACTTGTCTGCTCTCCCGCCCCCATTGGAAAAACTGCTATTGTGTCTTTGGGTTTGTTTTACTGCTGATGAACTAGCTTTTAAAAATGTTTTCTATTTTATCTTCACAAATCTGATGGCATCCAGGCAAGCAGATGAAGAATTCCAGATCCTGGCAAATTCCTGGCGATACTCCAACGCATTTACCAACAGGATATTTTTTGCTATGGTAGATTTTGATGAAGGCTCTGATGTATTTCAAATGGTAAGATCTTTGGTTTATTCTATTAAGTAGAAATAGGCAAACTATGGATAAAGTGGAGTACATCTTTTTCAATGGCCACAAGAAGTTAAATAGGACTTGTCTTACCTAAGATCTAGAGCAGAGGTGGCAAACACAAGGCCCGTGGGCTGAATCCGGCCCTCCACCTTCTTTTATCGGGCCTGGCACCTTGTTTCTACCCAGCAGCAGCGCCGAGCTCCTTGCCCCTAGTTAAGGAGTAGTTACATTTATCCAGTCCTAAAGTTACATTTGGCGCTTGGAAGGCAACCGTGAGGCTGATGTGGCCCCCAGTGGAAAGGAGTTTGACACCGTCGATCTAGAGCACTTTGTGAAATGAAAGCTAAACTTGAGCTCACATGAAATGTAATTTAAATGGTCAATGCCTAACCTATTAGAATTTGGAAATTGGCAGTAATCAAGCCAGTTATATATATGTGTGTGTGTGTGTATATATATAATTGTGGTAAATATGCATAATAAAAATTACCATTTTAGCCATTTTTAGTGGACAATTTTTTAAGTAACTTTGAAGAAAATGTTTGAGTCACAGTGATAATATATGCCAGGGGGCAAGATCTCAAATGTTCCTCAAGTAACTTTTAAAAAAAGATTTGATCTATTCATTTTCAGAGAGAAGGGAAGGGAGGGAGAAAGAGAGAGAAGCATTGATTGGTTGCCTCTCACACACCTGACCAGCCTGTATAGGCCCGGCATCACAGGCATGTACCCTGAGAATAGAACCGCAACCTCTTGGTTCACAGGTTCAGTCCACTGAGCCACACCAGCCAGGGATCAAGTAGCCTTTTAAATCACACCATTAATCCATTGTTATGCCACCATTGTAATATTGAAGGTGTTAGTAGAGCTACGTACTTGTCTTTTTTTTTTATATTTTATTTATTTATCTTTAGAGGGGAAGGGAAGGAGAGAGGGAGAGAAACATCAATGTATGGTTGCCTTTCGTGCGTCCCCTGCTGGGAACTGGCCTGCAACCCAGGCATGTGCCCTGACTGGGAATCGAACCGTGATTGTCTGGTTCTCAGGCCCGCACTCAATCCACTGAGCTACACCAGCCAGGGCCCGTACTTGTCTTTACCCCTGTCCTTCTCTTGTCTTAGTGGAAAAGTTCCTTTTTCATGTTCAAAGCTTGACCCCTTTCTTGTGCCCTGAATCCCATATGTACAGGCTCTATCAGTCATGACCTAAGACTGTTTTTAAAGAGCAACTTAAGGTTCACAGCAGAATTCAGGAGTAGATACAGAGATCCCCCATATACCCCCTGTTCCCATACATGGATAGCTTCCCCCACATTCAGCAGCCCCCACTTCCCCACCAGAGTAGTACATTTTTTACAGTTGGTGAACCTACACTGACACATCATAATAACCAAAAATGCACAGTTTATATTCTGGTTCACTCTTGGTCTTGTATGTTCTACTGGTTTGGACAAATGTATAAAGACAGCTATCCATCAGTATGTCACCCATACCCTGCTACTTCATCCCTCTCCCCCTAACTTTTGGTAACCATTGATATTTTTACTGTCTCCCTAGTTTCACCTTTTCCTGAATGCCATATAGTTAGAATCATACAGGATGTAGAACTTTCAGATTCCCTTCTTTCACCTAGTTATATGTATTTAAAGTTCTTCCATGTCTTCTTTTTATTTTTTTTTATTTTTTAGAGGGGAAGGGAAGGAGAAAGAGGGAGAGAAACATCAGGGGTGGTTGCCTCTCATGCACGTCCTACTGGGGACCTGGCCCACAACCCAGGCAGGTGTCCTGACTGGGAATCGAACCAGCAGTGCTTTGATTATTAGCAGGTACACACTCAATCCACTGAGCTACACCAGCCAGGGCCCTCCATGTCTTCTTATGGCTTGATAGCTCATTTCTTTTTATTGCCAAACAATATTCCATTGTCTGGATATACCATTGTTTGTTTATCTACTCATATACTGAAGGACATCTTGGTTGCTTCTGATTTTGGCAATTATGAATAAATTGCTATAAACTATCTCTAGTCAGGTTTTTGTACAGACAAAGTTTATAATTCCTTTGAGTAAATACCAAAGAGTGTGATTATGGATCATATGGTAAGAGTATGTTTAGTCTTGTAAGAAACTGCCAAACTATCTTCCAGTGTGGCTGTATCATTTTGCATTCCCAGCAGCAATGAATCATGCCTTTCTGGTTTTTTTTGGTTTTGTTTTGTTTTTTTTTTTGCCTACTGGATCTGTCCATTGGGTGTTGTACTGAAATCTTCACTATAATAGATTTACCTGTTTTCCTTGCAGTTCTATTACATTTTGCCTTGTATACTTTGACACTGTTGTTAGGCATATACACATTAAGGATTGGTATGTCTTCTTGGAAAATAGACCTATATCATCATGTAATGCTTTTTATCTCCGATACCTTTGCTTGTTTAAAGTCTGTTTCTGAAGTGAATATAGCTATTCCTGCCTTCTTTTGATTAGTGTTAGCATGGTATATTTTCCTCCATTCATTTACTTTTAATCTATAAATGTCTTTATATTTATTTATTTTTAAACAATCAGCAGTAATTGTGCCTCAGATAAACCTCATTAGCTACAATACTGCCACTGCACAAAGCTAGGTGTCTTTATATTTAAAGTGGGTTTCTGCCCTGACCAACGTAGCTCAGTGGGTTGGACATCCTCCCACAAAGCGAAAGATCCCACATACAGAAGGGTCACCGGTTCAATTCCCAGTCAGGGCACATGCCTGGGTTGTGGGTTCAGTCCCCAGTCAGGCTGCATACGAGAGGCAACCAATCAATGCTTCTCTGGCACATCGATGTTTCTCTCCCTCTCTTTCTCTGTCCTTCCTCCTCTCTGAAAATAAATAAGTAAAATCTTTAAAAAATAAACAAATAAAGTGGGTTTCTTGTAGGCAGCAGATACTTGGGTCTTATTTTTTGAATCATGCTGACAATTTGTTTTTCAGTTGGTGCATTTAGACCTTTGATATTCAAGGTGATTATTGGTATAGTTGGATTAATATCTGCCATATTCATTACTGTTTTCTATTTGTTGCCCTTATTTTTTGTTCCTGTTTTGGTCCTCCAATATTTTTCTGCCCTTCGTGGTTTTAATTGAGTGTTTTGTATGATTCCATTTCCTCTCCTTTCCTAGCATATTGGTTATACTTTTTTATTTTGCTTTTTTTTTAGAGGTTGCCCTAGAGTTTGCAGTATACATTTACATCTAATCCAAGTCCACTTCAAATAACAATATACTACTTAGTGGGAAGCGTTGAGAACCTTGTAATGACAAATAATCCTAATTCTCCCCACCTATACCTTGTATAATTCCTGTCATTAATTTCACTTATATGTAAGCATACATGCACACACGCACACCATTGAAAACATTGTTGGTATTATTTTGAACAGATTATCTATTTGATTAATTAAGAATAAGAAAACAAAAGGTTTTTTATTGTTCAATTATAGTTGTTCCAGTTTTTCCCCTTGCTCTTCCTTGCCCCCCTCCCGCCCCCACAGTCAGTCCCCACCCTGTTATTCATGTGCATGGGTCCCTCATACATGTTCTTTACCTGGACACTTTCCTTTTCTATAGAACTTCTTTTAATATGTCTTGCAAGAAATTCTGTCAATTTTTGTTTGAGAAAGTATTTCTCTGTTTTTGAAAAATAATTTCACAAGGTACAGTATTCTAAGTCTGTGGGGTTTATTTTTCTCTCCACCCTTTAACTTCCACTCCACGCTTTTCTTGCTTGCATGGTTTCTGGAGAGAAACTGGATATAATTCTTAGATCTCTCTTCTTGTATTGGTAAGGAATTTTATTTCTCTGGCTTCTTTCAGAGCTTTTCCCCTTATTTTTTATTTCCTGTAGCTTAAAAATTATATGCCTGCATATAGTTTAATTGGCATTTATTCTGCTTGATGATCTCAGAGCTTCCTAGTCCGTGATTTGAAATATGACATTAATTTGAGGGAAATTCTCAGTTATTACTGTTTTACTGTTATTTTTTAAAGATTTTATTGATTTATTTTTTAGAGAGAGGGGAAGGGAGGGTGAAAGAGAGGGAGAGTAATATCAAAGTGTGGTTGCTTCTCATGTGCCCCCTACTGGGGACCTGGCCCACAACCCAGGTATGTGCCCTGACTGGGAATCAAACCGGCAGGCCTTTGGTTTGCAGGCTGGCACTCAATCCACTGAATCACACCAGCCAGGACTATTACTGTTCTAAATATTGTTCCTGCTCTTTTCTCTCTTTCTGGTATTCCCTTATGTGTATGTTATATACATACACCTTTTGTAGTTGGCTAATTGTCCTTGGATAGTCTGTTCTATTTTTTAGTGTTTGTTTTCTTTTTGGTTTTTGAAGATTCTACTGATATAGTCTCCAGCTCAGAGATTCTTTCCTCAGCCTTGTCCAGTGTACTAATAAACCGATCAGTGGCATTATTTATTTTTGTTACACTGTTTTTCATCTCTGACATTTCAGTTCTTAGGATTTCTATTTCTCTGCTAACACTGCCCATCTGTTCTTGCATGTAGTCTATTTTATCTATTAGATCCACTGGCCTATTAATCATAGCTTTTTAAAAATTCCCAATCCGATAATTCCAACAATCCTGCCTTGTGTAGTTCTCATACTTACTCTTTCTTTTCAAATCCCTTTTTTTTTTACTTTTGATATGCCTTGTAACTATTTCCTTCATGGCTAGATATGATGTACTGGGTAAAAGGAACTGCTGTAAATTGCCTTTTGTAATGTGGTGGTGAGATGGGAACGGAATGTCCTACAGTCCTGTGATTAGATCTCTGTGTTTTAGCGAGCCTGTCCTTCTGAACTGTGAACTTCGCCAGACTTTCTCAGTTTTTCTCCCCTCTTAGGGGTCAGGGCAGATGGCGTGAACGGGAGTTGGGTGTTTCCCTTCTTCCCAGTCACTTAGGCTTTGATAGGACCCTAGCAGGTTAGGTTCTGGCTAACTAGTTTCCACCAAGGACAAGGCCTCGTTAAGAAACACAGAATGCCCTGGTGTATTTTATTTCAAAAATCATTTGTTTTCCCCTTTCCCTGCCAGAAGCATGAGAGCATTTTTCTCTAATATTTACTGTGGGAATCTAGTGAAGTTTCTGAGGTAAATCTCCCAGTATTGTAGCTGCCCACTCCCCAAATGACCATGTGCCCCTGGAGTTTTGAACTCTCAGAGCGGTCCGCTCTGAGCCTTCAGCGACTCGTCGTTTACAGGCCAAGTTTTTCTGCCCTGGAGATGGTTCTGCAGGCAGTTTATACTCATAGCTCTCTTCTTATAAGTACTGGCTTCCTGTTTTTGCCTATTTGTCCAGTTTTGCCCTATGTCCTCCTCCTCTTAGGGATCCAAGAACAGGTGTTATTTTTCAGTTTGTTCAGCTTTTTAACTGTTGTTACAGTAGAGTACTGACTTTCATGCTCTTTACAAGCACAACCAGAAACATAAGTTTCAAGTGTATTTCTAATTTTAGCCTCTGTCATAGTCCTTTCCTAATATATGAGGAGACAGAGATTCAGTCAGTACCTTCAAAGACATAGATTCAATATTGTCTTTTTATAAGTATGTCTAACTCATATATTTGGACATTTTTATTCAATAATAATTGCAGAAAATAGAAAAGATTTGGGTGTAACTTTTTCTTGTAGAGCTTTACCTGAATAACTTACAAATCCAAAAATTCATTATGTCTCAAATAAAACTGTTTGCTGTCCCACTTCCACCCAAAGCTGCCCTCTTGTGTCCTGTATTATTTGTGGTAGTTCTTTGTCATCTTCATCTTACAGGGGTGTCCAACCTGCAGACGGTGGGCCACATACAGCTCAGGATGGCTGTCAGTGTGGCCCAGTACAAAATTGTAAATTTACTTAAAACATTATGAGATTTTTTTTAGTGATTACATGTTGCAGTGTATTAAATGAGTGACCCAAGACAACTGTTGTTCTCCCATTGTGGCCCAGAGACACTAAAAGGTTGGACACCCCTGTAACCACATATCCTTTACATTCCAAGACCCTTATCTTCTCATTTGAACTAATGCAGTAGCCTTTTAACTCCTGCACTTACCATCCATATATAGTACCCTCTCCATATTGTCTGCTAAAACAGTTCTCAAGAGTTTTTCTTTTAAGATTTTATTTATTTATTTATAGAGAGAGAAGAAAAGAGGGAGAAGGGGAGAGAGAGAAACATCAATGTGTGAGAGAGGCATCAATCAGCCTTGACCAGGAATTGAACCAGTGACATTCTGGTTCGCAGGCCAGCACTCAGTTCACTGAGGTACACTGATGCGGTCACCAGCCCACAGTGTCCGTGGCGTTATGGATAAGATAGGAAACAAATTCACACGGACTACCGAGTCTTATGTAGGAAATGCAACCGCATGGCCACTCTCTCAAGAGGAGTGCACCCGGACCCTTGCCTTGACAGGCTTTGATTGGCTTTCTATCAGCATACATCAAAGAAGGTTTTCATTCAGCAATTACCTTTTACAGATAGCAATGGAGGGGATGCTACTAATTATTTCTCGCAGGTTAACAAGAAAAAAATGTTGCAAATGCAAGGGAATGGTAAAAGTAACTGGCCTGGTTACACTTCAATCCTTGGGAGAATTAGCACAGACTTCAGGGAGTTACTTTAAAGATATGCAGTAAGCATTTGCTGCTTGAAATTCAAGGTTGAGGGAGTTTTAGCAAGAGCAAGTCACAAAGCAGCCTAGGTAGAATGCAGGCCTGGTTTCCCATGGGAGAAACAGTTGTTGGTTTGGCTTCCTGTGTGACATGGGGTTTCCAATAGGGCCGGGCTGCATTGTCACTCCACATGCATGAGTTCCCTACAGTACATCAGGCAGGGCAATTCCCAGAGTATTTTTATAAAGGGTATTAATAAGAATTCTTGGGGGGGAATTTAACTTCATAAACATCAGTTTTAAAAAAATAATGTTATTTATTACTTTAGAATATCAAGAGCTGTGCAGTATCTGAAGTTTTACTGTACTTGCAAGGTAACAGTTTAGCCTGCCACAGTTTCATAAATGCTAGCAGCAGATGTAATACTCCGGGGTCAGAGTTATAAGGACTTTATAACTCACATCAACAACAGTATCCACAGTGTCAGTACTTTCTTGCACCAATTCCTCAGCCCCCCACTTCCCATATCACAGCCCAAAGAGGGCCAGTGGGTTGCATTGTGGGACGGGAGCTCCAATATTTGGAAAAGAAAATCTTCTGTGCCCCTGACTGGCATGACTCAGTTGGTCGGGTCTCCTCCCACGGACCAAAAGGTCACCTGTTCAATTCCCTATCAGGGCACATGCCTGGGTTGCAGGTTTGGTCCCCAGGCTGGTACATAAGAGGCAGACAATCGATGTTGTTCTTCTTCTCTCTCCTTCCCCCCCTTCCTTCCCCTCTCTCTAAAATAAATAAATAAACAAATATTTTTAAAAAAATTTATAAAGGTAGCCCTGGCTGGTATAGCTCAGTGGTGAGCTTGGGCTGTGAACCAAAGGGGTCGCCATTTCAATTCCCAGTCAGGGCACATGCCTGGGTTGCAGGCCAGGTCCCCAGTTAGGGGCATGTGAGAGGCAACCACACATTGATGTTTCTCTCCCTCTCTTTCGCCCTCCCTTCCCCTCTCTCTAAATAAATAGATAAAATCTTTTAAAAAAAGATAGTAACTATCATATTTTTTTATCTATAAAGGTAAATAAGCATGCATGCTCTTTGCTTTGAAGGGAGACTCTGTATCTTCAAAGCCTACCCAGATATCCTTGACAAGATCATCCAGAATGAAGGCAGTCAGTGCCTCTGCTTTCAAGACAAGCAGAAACTCATAGAGAGATGTCTCCCAACACAAGACTTCTCATAGGCTATAAAATGCTGATATCTGTTCTAATTTTCATTCCAGTAGTGGACTGTAATATGCAGAATTTCCCAAATTACTGGACCTTTTAATGGAGTATTTTGACTAGACTTTATGGAATGTACTCTTGGAAATAGCGGCATATAGACTAAAGTCAAAATTCCTTAGTCCTCCTCACTTCATGCACTCTTTACACCAAACACATAACCGCAGATTTCTTTAAAAAGATCCATCTATCTATCTATCAATTTATTTATTTTTAGAGAGGGGGAAATGGAGGGAGATAAGGAGAGAAATATCTGTGCATGAGAGAAACATTGATCAGTTGCCTGACAGGGAATCAAACCAACAACCTTTTGGTTCACAGGCCAGAACTCAATCTGGTGTGGCTCCAGATGAGTTCTGGCCTACAAACTAAAAGGTCACCTGTTTGACTCCCAGTTTGGGCACATGCTTGGGTTGTGGACCAGGTCCCCAGTTGGGGGCGTGGGAAAGGCAACCAATTGATGTATCTCTTGCTCATCTATGTTTCTTTCCCTCTCTTTCTCCCTCCCTTCCCTTCTCTCTAAAAATAAATAAATAAAATCTTTAAAATAAATAAAATCTTTTTTTAAATGTTGGCAGTATGGGAGGTTTTCCATTCTAAAGGAGTAAAATATAGGTTTCTTGGCTAGGATTTTATATTTGGTCAGTAAAATGTGCTAATTAAGGTCATGGGCAGCTTTGGATTTGAATCCTTGCTCCACCATTTACTCCTTTCCTTAGGCAAATCACTTAACCTACCTAACCCTAGGCTTCCTCATCTTTATAAAATGTCTAATTTTCAAGATAATATTTGCCATTAAGTTTTTTCCCCTCAAACACTTACATTTCATGGACTACTTTTCACTCAGCTCAACATGAATTCAGCGCCAACTTTCATCAACTTTCCGGCGAAAGGGAAACCCAAAAGGGGTGATACATATGAATTGCAGGTGCGCGGCTTTTCAGCTGAGCAGATTGCCCGCTGGATTGCTGACAGAACTGATGTCACCGTAAGTTTCCCTACTCTGTAGAAAGTTACTTTGCCGTTACCCACTTGGAATCTCACTGGGGAGGTCCTGATTGGTCTTGTCCACACTTCACTGAGGTGGTAATCGTTGGGCAGTCCATTTCACAGAAGTAGCATTTCACATATGAGTAGCATTTCTCAGAATCATCTTGATGAATGCATGAAATTACAAAACACCCTCTATCATTGAATTTGGCATGGAAACCACTCTTTTGACCTTATTAAATCATGGATTATCTAGTTGTACTTGGCATATACTGTAATCTAAAAGATGTTCTGTTGTGGTTAAACAGAATTTGTACCTATCCCATCCCATTTTAAGATACACTGTAGATTCTTAGCTAAGATGCAAATAAAGAAATGTAATCTTTCCTGAAAGCAATCACGGTGATTTTTATTGTTTTCATTTCACATCACTTTGACCTGTATAATCAATTTTATACTTTAACATGTTTTTCTCTCTTTCCCATTAGATTAGAGTAATAAGACCCCCAAATTATGCTGGTCCCCTTATGCTGGGATTGCTTTTAGCTGTTATTGGTGGACTTGTGTATCTTCGAAGAAGCAATATGGAATTCCTCTTTAATAAAACTGGATGGGCTTTTGCAGCTTTGGTGAGTGAATTTTAGAAGAAAATTGTATGAATAAAACTAATGTTGCATTGTTAGGTAGCACTTTGCTTATTTCTTAACTGTGGAAAGGATTTCATATATTATTGTTACTTTATACCTTAAGGTCGGTTTGCTTCCTCCATCATCTCATTAGGATGCCCAAAGCTCGGAAGAACTGGTTGCACCCCCAGTTTTTGTTCAACTTAAGTGATAGACTGTCACCTCTAGAAAATCTACAGTTCTTTTGGAAATAATCTTCTCAAAGGCTTTTGAATATTCAATTTTAAAACTTGTATCAGCTTATTGATCATTTTAAGATGGTGTTTTTCTTTCAAAGTAAGTATTTAGTCTTGTGATCCTCGTGGTGAAAGACAAGCCCTTAATTAAGAAATCACTTATCTGGAAAAAATGTTCTTTATGTATTACTTGAGTAGATGCACTTTTCATACCACCTATCAGTTGATTCAAGGTGGGAATGGCTGCACCATGTCGTATGAGTATTTCATTATTTTTTCGTTTCATAGTGTTTTGTGCTTGCTATGACATCTGGTCAGATGTGGAATCATATCAGAGGACCACCGTATGCCCATAAGAATCCCCACACGGGACACGTGGTAAGAGAATCCGGGATTGGGTTCCATTGTTATAGCAAAGTTGACCTTACTGCTTATTAGCCTGTGAGAGACCAGCACATGAGGGAACCAGATTTTAGCTTTGGATTTTCAGTCTTTCTGTTAACAAGCTTTAGTTGCTAAAAAAAAAAACAACGTAGTACTCTTTAAAGGAGGAAGTTTCTTATCGCATTTGATGAGTCGTTTTGAATAACCTAGCTAAGAATGAAAGTCAGCCTTCAGCTAAATACAATGTTTGATCAAGTACTTGAGCATCTGTGGTTTCTAGGCACTGGGCTCGGTATTACTAGGTATACTGATAAACAGAAAAACACGATCCTATCTTCATGGAGCTTACATTGTGTACGTCCCAGTCTTATACACTGAAATACTAGTTTTCTCATATATTCTGTTGTTGAAAACATAGTATAAGTACAATGGGATGAAAAATTATAAATAACACAAATAGTTTTTATTTTATCCAAACGTATTTACTGATGAATGCCACAGACCCAATGCCTTCATTATTAATGAAGGTGAATCAATAAGTTCATATAGTTCAAAAATAGCCCATTGTAGGATTAGGATAACAAAATTTAAATATTCAAATATTTAAAGATTTGATTTTGTCTTTTTTCCCTCCAGAATTATATCCATGGAAGCAGCCAAGCCCAGTTTGTAGCTGAAACACATATTGTTCTTCTGTTCAGTATCCTCTTTACAAATCCTTGGTGCTGTGTTGTAATTTGCATTTTTTTCTCGTATTGTAGTATTCTCGCTATAGAATTTGGTTGCAGTTACTCTCTTATTAATGCAAGTAATAATATCTTTAGAATTATATTGCTATGTCATAAGTCCTAGCCTAATCAACTAAAGACCATCAGGGACAAACCAGAGTCTGACAAAGCCAGGTTCTTTGGATCTTGCTACAAGGCAGATTGCATATGGGGGAATTAAGGCACATCTTACCTAAAGAGAAACAGAGTTCTGAGATTTGAGGAAGGGGCGGGGCTTTGGTGAAATGTAAATGAAGCGATGTTTTGATGTGCTCAAAGCAAAACCAGGCTAAGTGCAAAGGGGTCAGCATCAGCTCTGGACTGTGAAGTGGACAGGGTTCTGTTTCCTGGAAACTACAAAGTTTAGAGAAACATGGGCTTTTTGTCTTCAGAAACTCCTTATTTGAAGCTGTGTATGTTGGTTGTAAATTGTGGCAACTCAGAAATTGTACTTATAAATTAAGTGACTATGATCCTCCAAGCAAGAATGGAATGTTTAATTTGAATTAGTCTATGATTTTAAAGAACAGTGTTCTTCATAGAGTAGGAAAACAGTGTTAAGTATAAATAAAAAAAAATCAGCCTTGCCTGGCATGGCTCAGTGGCTTGAGGGCAAGCCTATGAACCAAAGGGTCACTGGTTTGATTCCCAGTCAGGGCACATACCTGAGTTGTGGGCCAAGTCCCCAGTAGGGGATGCATGAGAGCCAACCACACATTGATGTTCTCTCCCTCTCTTTCTCCTTCCCTTCCTCTCTCTCTCTAAAAAGAAATAAAATCATTAAAAAACAAGACTCAGCTTAAAAGGAAAAGAAAAAGAAAAAAATCAAACCCCCTGGAAACACTGCCCTTAGTAAATATTTGTGTTGAAACATGGACAAAAGTAGGTTTACAGTTTTAAGTATATGAAACCACTTATTCTCGCATTACTTATTTATTGTATTATTTAATATGAACAACTGTAAACCTACTTATGCCCACCCCTGTATGTTTTTCCTTATTTTATTTTACTCTCTCAGTGATTTATTAAAGATAATTCAAGGGAAACATTCTGAAAAAAATTAAGCTTTTGGTTTTAATTGAAGGACATTTGGGAAAATGATATTTTCTTAAAATAATATTCTTATATAATATAGAGAAATTAATTTACTGCTTAAAATTCAGCCTAGCCCTGACTGGTGTGGCTCAGTAGGTTAGGTATCATCCCAGAAACCGAAAGGTCATCAGTTCGATTCCTGGTCAGGGTACATGCCTGGTTTGTGGACCAGGTCCTCGATTGGGGGCTTTCAAAGGGCAGCCTATCAGTGTTTCTCTCCCTCTCTTTCTCCCTCCCTTCTTCTCTCTCTAAAAGTAAATAAATGAAATCTTTAAAAAAATTGAGCCTGGGGTCAGGAGATTTAATCTATTCAACCATGGAATGGTGAGCTGAGAAGATTAATAATAAATAGCTAGTCTCTATGATGAGAAAGAAGATTGAAAGAAAAATATTAACCCATTTTTCCCAAATTATAAAATTTATTTATTTGTATTCAACTTATTGAAACTAAAAAACAAAAAAATAGTTCATCTCTTTTTCCTACTTCCCACCACTTACCTTATGCAAGTGCCAATCTGTTCTCTGTTTGAAAGCTTTTGTGTGTGTGTGTGTGCGTGTGTGTGTGTGTGTACACCAACCCAATAAAAATGTATTTATACTATATATTTAATATATATTATATAATTATAAAACATATATAAGGGCATATTTATACATTACACACACACATACATATATTCCACAATAAGGAAGAGCAAATTGCAGCTGCATTTCTAGGTCTGGCTTATCTTAAATTTCTTTTTTTTTTTTTTTTTTTTAATTTTTTTTTTTTAATTTTTTTTTTAAATATTTTATTTATTTATTTTTTGAGAGAGGGGAAGGGAAGGAGAAAGAGTGGGAGAGAAATATCAATGTGTGGTTGCCTCTCATTTGTCCCCTGCTGGGAACTGGCCTGCAACCCAGGCATGTGCCCTGACTGGGAATCGAACCGCGATACTCTGGTTCGCAGAAATTTCTTCAAATTTAAGTTGAAAATGTTTGTTTATGATTTGATAGATTAACCAATTATTGTACCTGGGAAATTTTACAGTATCTGGAAATGATCTCAATTAATTGTACTTTGAAACTGAACAGTGGAGCAAAAGGGCAGTTAAAATTGTAACATGTTATTTAATTGATTTTCAGTCTCTTGGTTTCTAGCTTTGTCCTAAATTTTTAAATATAATCATGTAAGTTTAAGAAATTAGAAGTTTCTTACTTTTTCCCTTTGTCTAAAGGTTAAACATCTTAGGCTCTCATGTACATTTAGAACAGCATTTGTAAGCCTATTGGAATGTAGACTTTCTTATAAATTTGGTTAATAAGATGCACAATGGGAATTTTTTTCATGGAGATTTGTTCTCTCCGTTTTTTGCTTTATTGGTAGTGGTTGGGAAGGTAATGTTTTCCAAGCAGTTATTTTGCTAAATGCTGTGAAGGCAAGATTTTTCTAAGGAGCTTGTAGTACTGGGACAAACAGATGTGTGCAGATTACAAGACAGTACCTTCTGTACTGTGTGTGGGGTAGAATGGTGAGATCATTAATAAAGCTGTTTAATTTTGTTAGATATAGGGAACTTTGTAGAAGATTTAAAACACACCCCCCCCCTTTTTTTTTACTGGACACAAAGCCTAAAGACTCAAAACTCAAAAGTTTGATTAGGAAAAAATTTTAAAGATTTTATTTATTTATTTAAAGAGTGGGGAAAGGAGGGAGAAATATGTGGTTGCTTCTCACGAGGCACACCCCCCCACCCTGCCCAGTGGGGACCTGGCCCACAATGCAGGCATGTGCCCTGACTGGGAATCAAACCGGTGATCTTTTGGTTCATAGGCTGGCACTCAAGCCACTGAGCTATGCCAGCCAGGGCTGATTAAGAATTTTTTAATTTTTGCCTGGATGGCATAGCTCAGTGGATTGAGTACCAGTCTAAGAACTAAAGGGTTGCTGGTTGGATTCCCAGTGTATGGCACATGCCAGGGTTGTAGGCCAGGTCCCCAGCAGGGGCCTCATGAGAGGCAACCACACACTGATGTTTCTGTCCCTCTCTTTCTCCCTCCCTTTCCCGCTCTCCACAAATAAATAAATAAAATCTTTTCTAAAATCATTTAAAAAAAGAATGTTTTCTTAGATATAAAAATAATTTGGCATATCTCCAAATTTCAAGAAGTAAGTATATGAAACTGTCTTTTGCTTTTGATGATTTGTCCAAATTGTTTCCCAAAAGGGTTTTTGCTACAAAGGGGGAGGTTGCTGCCGGGTGTGTGTATGTGTACTGATAACCCTAGCAAGTTGTCACCATTATTATGTGTCCTCTTTTTTATTAACTGCTAATTCAGCGAGCCAAAACTTGTAGGTCATTTTTAAAATCTGCTTTTGCCAGTAATAATCAAGGTTATTTAAACATTTTCCCAGAATTTTGTAATTAGGTTTCATTTTATGCAAATATCTTTGCCTTCATCATGTATTAAGGTACTTTGATTCTGCTAGCTCTTTTAGTAGCCTAGTTCTTACATGTTCCGGCATGCTGCCTCCTCTATTTCCTATTCAGTTATCCCAAGGGAACATTTAATGATGATTACTTATTTATTATTTATTTCATTGTCTCTCCCTACTGCAGTATAAACTTGTCCAAGGAAGGGTCTGTATTTCATCCAAATTTGTAATTCCAACATATAATAGGCAGTGACTGCTATATAGTAAGCAGCGTTAGTAAAAGTTTAAACAATCAATGAACGAAAGGAAACCATATACAAGGAAGTGCATCAGAGTTCTTGGTAACTGAGAACAGCACACAGAAACCCTGGCGATATATTTCAAGATGGAAAACTCATTCAAACAGAAAGCATATAGAACATGATACTGAAATAAACCGTTCCAAATATAAGTGTCAACCGTTAATCAGAGTACCCTGTAGACAAAGCCTATAGAAGTGCTCAGTCTTTACATGTACCTGGATATAAGTAACTCAGGGGAAAAAAATAATTTCCAGAGAAGATGACTTGGCCAAGCAACTAAAAATATGATGAATAGGCATCATTTCTAATGAGGGAGAGAAAGCACAAGATGGGAATGAAGGGATGAATGGACAAATTACAGAGCCACTTATTCCTTTAGGCCTTATCTGAACACCTTTGTTTCCCTTTCTGCTTAATTACACCCACATGCAGACTATACAGTGTGTATGTGTGTATGCATAATTAATTTGGGCATTTTCACCTGCTGTTTGTATTAACCAAACTGCAGGGTGAATCTCTCTTTTCTGGAAGAACACATTCTGTTTTTATTTTAGCATTCAACCATGCTATGTGTTACCTGTTTGCTTGATAGACTGTTTTGTATTTATGTAGCTTCTATATTAAGCTGAATAAAAGATCATGGCATGTGGGATTTTCTTTTTTAATTACAATAGGACAAAATTAGGTAGTAATTTGTTTTTCAAAGGCTAATTGTTGAAATTGTGAAGAATTTTTGGGAAGTTATTTTTCAAATAAAAATTAGTTGCTATTCTATCTAAATGGTGTATATTTTAAGTGTGTCCTTTTTTGGATGGTGGTTGAAACATTATTCAAAATGTCTTTAGTTCTTTAAAATATGTATGAGATTGAAGCAAAAGTTGTAAGACTATCCAGCAATGTTATATCAAAGTCCTATGGCAGGAAAACTCATAGTCATCTGTAAGTTACAACCATGCATTTGTTTAAAATATCAATCTTGATTTTTACAAATAAGCAATTTTTCAGCCTTAATATTTTTGTTATATCTTCATAGTAAATGATTATGCTGTTTAGACCCAAGGTTACTTATTTACAGCATTTTGTAATTAAATGTTGTAGATTTATATATCTATTCTAACTTTCTTTATGAAAGACTAAGACTAGGAATATTGAAGTGGTATGTCTTTTGTGTCTGTGTGAATTTTTCCTTAAACAGTTTTTTTTAAAGATGGCGGGGTTACCTTAGGGATGGTGCTTTTATGTGAAGCTGCTACATCTGACTTGGATATTGGAAAGCGAAAGAGTAAGTCATATCACATGCCAATTCTGCCTTTAATAAAGAAACAACGATGACCCCTTAATCACTTCCCCTGTTGTTTATAAGTAAGTTATTTTATTTCATTACTATTTTAAAAGTAATAATCCTAATTATACAAAATGTGGGAGGGGATAGGAATACGAAACATTTGGGAGGAGAGTTATCCATTATTCCACCATTAAAAAAGCTAATATAGTTCTTTCCATTTGTAAAAACATCTTTAAAATTCTAGTCTAAAATCGTGAATCTGGTACTCCCCCTTTTTAAATGGAGTTAAATAATTCACTAAATATTTTCCTTACATAATTTTAAATTTATACTCTATCCTGTAATTTACTGTTCCGATTTTGTTAAGCATTTAGTTTTTTTTTTCTTTCATTATGATAAACTCTTCTGTAGTGACTGTCATGGTATATTAAGCTTTATCCTCATTTCATATTGATACCTTAAGGTAGATTCCCAATAGTCAGATGGATGACTGTGGTTCTGCATGTATTTTTAATTTTCTTGATTCTTTAAACTGATGATGTCAAATTGTTTCCCCAAATGGGATCATTAATAATTTAGATTCCTACTAGTAGTATTTGTGCATGCTTTCACTATAATTTTATCAGTATTAGATAACTTTGTTAACAGAGTATGGGTACATGTGTGCTTCTTGCTTGATCAGATAAGGGGGAAATGTTATTTTATTTTGTACTTTGGTTATTAGTGAGCTTGTGAGGTTAAATATTTTCCAAAATGTTTATTAGCTGTTGTGTTCTTCCATCTATAAAGTATCTTTTTATCTTTTGCCACTTACCTATTAGTGTCTTAGTCCTTTTCCTGTTGGTTTGCATGGACTTTTTATATATTAGAATATCCACACGTTGGTATCTGTTGCAAAGAAATGCCAACAATGTAATTTTAATTTTACTTACATGAAGTCAGTCTAAGTCAGAGTTTTTCCTTTTATGGTTAAATAGTTTAAATTGCATCAGAATTAACCTAGGTAAATAAAGTCTGTTTACTAAAATGCCCTGGCTGGTGTGGCTCATTCGGTTGAGTGCCAGCCTGAGAACCCAAAGGTCACCAGTTGGATTCCTGGTCAGAGCACATGCCTGGATTGCAGACCAGATCCCCAGTAGGGGGCGCACAAGAAACAACAAATGGATGTTTCTCTCTCTTGTCTCCTTTCCCCTCTCTAAAAATAAATAAATAAAGTCATTTTTTAAACTTAAAAAATAAAACATGATGATGACATTCCAAATTTGGAAGATGCTTATTTTGCTACATTAAAATGAAATTTTACCCTGGCTGGCATAGCTCAGTGGATTGAGCGTGGGCCTGTGAACCACACGATCGCGGTTTGATTCCCAGTCAGGGCACAAGCCTGGGTTGCAGGCCATTTCCCAGCAGGGGACTCACGAGAGGCAACCACACATTGATGTTTCTCTCCTTCTCTCCTTCCCTTCCTCTCTAAAGATAAATAAATAAAATCTTTTGAAAAAAACCCAAAATTTTAGCCCTGGCTGTTGTAGCTCAGTGGATTGAGCACGGGCCTGTGAAGCAAAAGGTCACCTGTTCGATTCCCAGTCAGGGCACATGCCTGGGTTGCAGGCCAGGTCCCCAGTAGGGGACACATAAGAGGCAACCACACATTGATGTTTTCCTCCCACTCTTTCTCCTTCCCATCCCCTCTTTCTAAAAATAAATAAATAAAGTATTCTTTTAAAAATGAAATTTTATACATTGGAAAGACATAACTAATGTATCAATTTTTTATTCCGTTAATATGTATCCTTAAATTGCCTGACTTTTTTTTTGTTTTTTTAAATAAATTTTTTAAAGATTATTTATTTATTTTTAGAGAGAGGTGAAGGAAGAGAGAAAGAGAGGGAGCGAAACATCAGTGTGTGGTTGCATCTCACGTGGCCCCCACCAGGGACCAGGCCCGCAACCCAGGCATGTGCCCTGACTGGGAATCAAACTGGTGACCCTTTGGTTCGCGGCCCACTCTCAATCCACTGAGCTATATCAGCCAGGGCTAATTGCCTGACTTTTAAAAAATTGCCTGTTTGGTATTCGTTACTAGGGAAAAGGCCATCTGGGTGCTACACTGTTGGCATGAATTTAAGTCGTCATAACATTTTGGAGACATTAAAGTAATCACTTTTTCATCTATTTCTAAGATTCTAACCTAATGAAATAATCACAAATAATACTAAAAATTTCTTTAGCACTTACTATGTACCTGGAAATAAAATATGAAAAAAGTAGAATACAAACATATACACAGTGATACTGTATATGTATATGTATGTGTGCATTTTAATTAGGGGGGAAAAAGACAGTGCATCAATACTCAGGAAAAGATTTTTGACTTCTATATTTTGGCCACTGATCATGTTGTTTGAAAATTTAAAAGCAAAAAATTGTTCCCGCAATATAAGAGAACTAAAATTTGTTTTTAGTATTGGCCCATAAGTGTATTTCCCTAGAGCTTTCATTGCTGTAGCATGCATGCTTTCCCACATCCCTGCCTTTATGCTCCTTAGCCAGTCCTAGTCTGGGGACTCAGAGTCTCAACATATGGGAATCATACTTGAGCATTGTGGGGCTAGTGTCTAGAGTTAGGATCATTAACTGCTATGCTAAACCAGGGCTTACGAGATTAATGGAGAGAGCTATGAACTTAAGGCAAGGAATCAAGGTCTTTCCCCATCATTTAAAATGAGGTGTCCAGCCCTGGCTGGTGTGACTCAGTGGATTGATTATTGGCCTGCAAACCAGTCACTGGTTTGATTCCCAGTCAGGGCACATGCCTAGGTTGCTGGCCAGGTCCCCAGTAGGGGGCATACAAGAGGCAACCACACATGGATGTTTTTCTCTCCTTCCCTCCTCCTCAAAAAATAAAAGTAAATCCACTGTAAAAGATTTAAAATAAAATCTTTTAAAAATTAATGCATGCTGCAATGCTTATTAAAAAATAGCAACCCTCTGCCTAGTGTCCTCCAGCCGTGACCCAAGCAAACATATTGAACAAATTCAAGCATTTAAAAAATAAAATGAGGTATCCATGTTAAGTGAGTTCCTCACACAGGTAGTGTAAGCTACCCGTGTGTGGATAAAGTACTTTCAATGGAGACTGTTACATGTCATCAGATGTCCTTAAGTCAGTATTTATCAATAATGCAATAAGGCCATGTTTAAGGATTTAAAAGGAGTTAATAAGTGTTTTTCTTGTCAGTAGAAAAATGTTTTAATGCAAGATTCCTGATTGTCATGGCTTTAAAAGAGTTCATTAATTCATACAATTAAATCGCACAGCTATGTAAATAAAGCTACTCTAATATATTGTACTACGTATATTAAAGGGCAAGGCAGAATCCTGTATGTAAAAGAATGGGCATGTGACCCTGACTGGTGTAGCTCAGTGGATTGAGCATGGGCCTGCGAACCAAAGGATCATGGTTCAATTCCCAGTCAGGGCACATGCCTGGGTTGCAGGCCAGTTCCCAGCAGGGGACCCACGAGAGGCATCATACGCTGATATTTCTTTCCCTCTCTCCTTCCCTTCCTCTCTAAAGATAAATAAATAAAATCTTAAAAAAAAAAAAAAAGAATGGGCACGCAAAGTGTGGAAAGTTGCGGTTTACCAGTAAGTTGTAGCCCTTCTGTTTCACTCCTTGAACTGTAGACTAAAATGTATGCCCTGGTTCTTCATCACACTTAACATGCTAATAACATGCTAATTTTACTCTTTTTGTTTTTCTGCAGTGATGTGCATGGCTGGCATTGGACTTGTTGTATTATTCTTCAGTTGGTTGCTCTCTATTTTCAGATCTAAATATCATGGATATCCATATAGGTATGATTATTGTTCAATTATATAGTGATGACTTATAAAGATTAGAGTTGATGTTGCTTTATAATATTTTCTTATCTCCGGGCTATTCTAGCTTCTAAAACAAAGAGATAGTCTTCAATTTAATTTAGGTATGTTGCATATAAAAATTAATGTAAGATATTTATGATATAATGGACAATAGTATGTGACTTCCCAGGGACATCTTTCAGGGTTATTCTAACATCACCTCATTTAAGATAGAAATGTATAAAACAACATAGAGAACACCTTATACCATATCTAGTCAACACAGTTCCTTGTCTGCATGCTATACTACCTCTTGAGGAGAAAATTATTTTTTTTAATGTTTTTGAAGACTTCTCACCTCTGCTTTTCAGGGATCTCTAGATGCCATAAACAAAACATTTGATTAAAATCCAGTTTGTAGAGAGCATGTGAAAGAGTATTTAAGAACATCTTGAGCCCTTGCTGGTGTGACTCAGTGGATTGAGCACCAGATGCTAAGCAAAGGGTCACCATTTTGGATTCCAAGTCAGGGCACCTGCCTGGGTTGTGGGCCAGGTCCCCATTGGGGGCAGGTGAGAGGCAACCACATGTTGATGTTTCCTTCCCTCTCTCCTCTCTCCCTTCCCTCTCTCTAAAAATAAATAAATGAAATCTTAAAAAAAAAAGAACATCTTAAAATGTTCATAGAAATATCCAAGCCTCAGGGTGTAAATTACTCACCTGCTTGTAAATTTTTTTTAAATATTTATTTTTAGAGAGGGGGAAGGGAAGGAGAAAGGGTGGGAGAGAAACATCATTGTGGGCATCTGCCCCTCATGTACCCCCTACTGGGGACCTGGCCTGCAACCCAGGCGTGTGCCCTGACTGGTAATCAAACTGGTGACCCTTTGCTTCACAGGCCCGTGCTCAGTCCACTGAGCTACAGCAGCCAGGGCTGGTCATAAATTCTTGATTTTACTGTTCATAGCCAAGAGAAATGTACCTACATAGGAGGGGAGACCCAAAAGAAAACCTGGAATTGCCTTCTGGAGGGCGCACCCCTTGTAGTACAGGCTTCCCCTGCTTAGTGACTGTTCTAGGAACCCATCTGCATCAGTGACCAGCTGGTATTGTTGTAAGAGGCTGCATTAGGCTTCAGCAATTTTTTTCTTAAGACTTAACACATTTGCCCATTTCAGGATTGGTGATTTATGGGCACACCTGCCCATACCACGCTGACTATTCAGCCGTTTTTGACCAAAACCGGCATGACTGCCTGTGCCCCGGCCCACCCCACATATCCTGTTCCCCACCCTCCCCATTCACCTGATCTAGCCCCAAGCAACCTGTTTTGTTTTCCCTGATGAAAAAAGTCCTCAAAGGGAAATGAGGACTTTTGACCAGTTTGAAGAGGTGAGACAGAAAACAGCGGTAACACTAAAAGACATCAAAATTAACAAATTCAAAACTAAACTATTTTAGTTTTGAATTTGTGTTCAAAATGAGCACTGGAAAAAAGTTTCAGTAAATGTATTGCATTAAGTGGACAGCACTTCTAAGGTGACTGAACTTTAAACATGTAAGAATAAATACACAATTTTTAATACCTAATCCCAGGGCTTTTGGGGGGAGGTCCCCTTTGTAATTGGGATTATTGTGATTAAGTTTAGTTACATAACCTGAGTGCCAATTACTGTAATTTCTATTCTTTTAATATAACATTGTTCTATAAAGGATTATGAACAGTAAAGGTAAAGTATATCAAGTGATATTTTTAAACATAAATTCATTCTTCATATTTTTAAATGTTTTATTGACTATGCCATTACAGTTGTTCTATTCCCCCCTACCCTGCACACCCCTCCCACCCACATCCCTCCCTTCATGTCCATGTGTCATAAGTTTAGCTTCTACATTTCCCATACTATTCTTGCCCTCCCCTTGTCTATTTTCTCCCCACTGTCTATGCTACTTATTCTCTATACCTTCTCCCCCCTTCTCCTCCTCCCACTCCCCTGTTGCTAACACTCCACGTGATCTTCATTTCTATGTTTCCACTCCTGATCTAGCTGTCCTCTTAGTTTGCTTTTGTTTTAGGTGTGGCTGTTAATAACTGTGAGTTTACTGTCCTTTCACTGTTCATCTTTTTTACCTTCTTTTTCTTAGATAAGTCCCTTTAACATTTCATAGAATAAGGGCTTGGTGATGATGAACTCCTTGAATTTGATCTTATCTAAAAAGCACTTTATCTGCCCTTCCATTCTAAGTGAAAGCTTTGCTAGATAGAGCAATCTTGGATGTAGGTCTTTGGATTTCATGACTTGGAATACTTCTTTCCAGCCCCTTCTTGCCTGTAAGGTCTCTTCTGAGAAATCCGCTGACAGTCTGATGGGCACTCCTTTGTAGGTGACTGTCCCCTTAGCTCTTGCTGCTTCTAGGATTCTCTCCTTCATTTGAATCTTGACTAATGTAATGATGATGTGCCTTGGTGTGTTCCTTCTTGGGTCCACCTTCTTTGGGACTCTCTGAGCTTCCTGGATTTCCTGGAAGTCTCCTTCCTTTGCCAGATTGGGGAAGTTCTCCTTTATTATTTGTTCAAATAAGTTTTCCACTCGTGGCTGTTCCTCTTCCCCTTCTGGTATCCCTATAATTGGATGTTGGAACGTTTAAAGATGTCCTGAAGGTTCCTAAGCCTCTCTTCATTTTTTTTGAATTCTTGTTTTTTCATCCTTTTCTGGTTGGGTGTTTCTTTCTTCCTTCTGGTCCACTCCATTGATTTCAGTCCCAGTTTTCTTTCCATCACTATTGTTTCCCTGTGCATTTTGCTTCATTTCACTTAGTGAAGCCTTCATTTTTTCTTCTAATATGTGACTAAAATCAACCAGTTCTGTGAGCATCCTGATAACCAGTGTTTTGAACTCTGCATCCGATAGGGTGGCTGTCTCTTGGTCGCTTAGAAGTATTGGCTCTGGGGCTTTGAGCTGTTCTTCTTCTTGAGCCATAATGTTTTGGTCTTTTTGCATCTGTTATGTCGTAGGTGTGGAGCCTTAGGTGTTCACCAGGGCTGGACACCCCAGGTCACTGGGTTGTGACGCTGTATGTGGGGCAGGGTCAGAGAGGGACAATAGCGTTTTCTTCTGCTCTTGGATTTCGGTCCCCTCTGTTGCTTCCCATAAGCAAATTGGGCCCTTCTGGTGCAGATTCTCAGATGTGTGGGCCTGTGCACCCTCCAGAACCCTGTGGGTCTCTCCAAGGAACTCTCTGTGAGCCTGGGAGCCTCTCCTGGCACCTCGATCCCCAAAAGTTTTTCCAATTGGTGCTTTTAGGCTTTATTTCCCGGAGCTGGGGCCCTAGGTTGTGCAGTCTATCTCACTGCTCACTCCTTTGCCTGGTTTATCTGTGCACAAATGTGTGACCGTGGTCAGCCAGCCGCCGTGCGCCCCCACTGGGTCTGCCCATTGCCACCCTGCACCTGGGATCTGCCAACTGCCACCTGCATTCCTGGGTTTGTCTGGCTGCTTTTTTCTGCTGTGACCCCTCTCCACCAGCTGCCGACTCTGCCCCTCTTACTGGTCTGGATGAATGGTTCGTTGTTGTCGGACTTCAGTACAGTTCAGTTTTCTCTCTGTTTTGGTTTTGTTTGGTTTTTAAATATTTGTTGTTCATAAACTTGGTTGTGCAAGGAGGTACAGTGTTTTCACCTATGCCTCTGTCTTGGCCGGAAGTCATTCCTCATATTTTTAACACAACTTTTTAGTAGATAATTTTGAAGAACTCCCTGATGGATTCATTGTATTGTAACATTCCTGGAAGCCTTTTGATCAGTGAACAACATAAATTAATCTTGCATTTTTTTCTTGCAAACTTATTTAAGACTAAACTCTACCAGTAGTTTGATTTTTGACTTATAATCTTTCAACTTTATATTCTTAGTGTTCTGTGTAAGTATATTTTTAAATACTTTCACCTCTGTAGAATACTAACCGGGATGCATAGTAAATTTTGCTGGGATTTCTGTTACTTAGATCATTATGGTTCATTCAGTTATTTCTTGTTGTCTGCTTTAAGGAGATATTTTAACTTTTCCTTTTCCTTCTAAGATTACCTCAGTAGGTCAGGGTTCCCTCACTTTCTGCCATTAATACTCAAAGTTTATTTTATTGAGTTAGCCAGAAAGTTCATTTAGGGTTTTTTTTTTCTGTAAAGTAAAAGACATTTTTCATTTTCACCAACAACTTCATTGAATTGGATATTTTGAGTATGTCGACTATCTCCTGATTGGTAGAATGTTGATTGTTTTCAATTAATGTCTCAATTTGATGGCTATCAACTTCAACTGGTCTAGCCTACCTTGAAGCATCATCCAGTGAGAAATCTCCAGCATGAACTTCGCAACCCACTCCAGACACGTTTGATCAGTCACAGCACCTTCTCCACACACTGCCCAAATCTTCTTTTGCATTTCAGTTGTGTTTTTACCTTTCTTGAAATAATATAATATATCAAATACGTTGTATATTTTCTTCCATTTTCAATATTAAAATGGCTGCACAAAAATTCACCAATTTTGTTTAAGTCTTTTTAAAATGCACACTGATATGACCACAATACAATCTAACAAAATTGTTTCTAGTGAAGTTAAAGACAGCTGAGCACTATAAGAGGCTTCTTATGGGGAAAAAAAAAAAAACCTAAACGACCTTGTTGGCCAACCCAGTACCTGCACTTGAACACTCTTTGCTCTCTTAAAGTCAAGATACTTATTAGAAATAAAGCCTACCTTTTTCCAGAGACTAATAGTTTGGTGTATATTTTTGTTTCAGCTTTCTGATGAGCTAAAAAGGATCCCAGAGATATGTAGACACTGGAGTAATGGAAATTGATAAAATGAAGAAAGATGTGTGTGCGAAAAGAAGAATGAATCTTTGTATTTTGTATTACCTCTTTTTTTCCAAGTGATTTAAATAGTTAATCATTTAACCAAAGAAGATGTGTAGTGCCTTAACAGCAGTTTCTTGTCAAACTCATGAAGTATTTGGATACAATCTTTACTTTCCCTTCCCAGTAAACTTCATGGGACATTTCATTTAATAGTATTAAGAATATTATTAAAATGTTAAAACTATGACTGCAGTTTAATTAGAACAAGGTTCAAAACTGCTTTACTTTTGTCCAGATGATTTTACTTATCCAAAGGTGGGAGGGAGTCCTAACCAGGTGTTCCTGCATATACATACCTATGCCTATTGCCGATCAGTACTACATCAGGAATCCATCCTTAGCTTTTCCATTTTTGCATCAGTGTGTATACTCTTGCACATTTTTCCTTTTGGGAAGAGAAATCATATATGCTATGTGGTCTTCTGAAAGTAGAACACTGTTCTTCAGAGTACATGTCTAGCCTTTAGAAAAAAAAGGAGTAGCCAGTCCTCCTCCATCTTTCTGACTGAAATACAGTGCTGGCTATCTATGCTTCCTGGTAGCTGTAGGTGTTAAAAAGTATCTCTAAGTACAGGATTATGATTTCTGTATGAGTATGGAACTAACTACCTTGTATTTGGAAAGATTTTGGGTTCATTCTGACTCCCTAGTTTTATTTAAGGCAGGACACCTTATAGTAAAAATGTAGCTTAGTGTTAAACATCGTCACTTATTTCATTTGTACCTAAATGAAAAGAAATAGGCCCATCTGGTGAATTTGGTTTCTGTATTACAGTTACAACATATTTCAGTAATCCTTGTGTTTGGGAAAAGGACCCCCGTAGATTAAAAGAAGACAGTCATGAAATACTGCATTGTTTGCCTGTAAATAGAAGTCAGTGCTTCTCGAAAGCTGTTCTTTGTTTGCTATTATTTTAGCCTTTATTCTCCACTTTAAGTGGTAAAACAAAGTAAACAAAGAGACTTAGTTTGAATGTTGTCTTTTTTGGTCAGTGGAAATAACCATATGTGCTAACCAAATTTCTGTGAAGAATGAACACCTGACAGTTATCATTAGCTCTAGCTATAACCTCCCCATAGTTACGAAGAGTATACTGAAATGCCACTCTGCCGGAAATAGAATTATGATTGTGAAACAGAAATTGTAGAAGTATTGAATGAAAATAATACTGTGACTGCCTGCTACTATTTACTATCTAATAAATCTTCCATGCGATCTAGAAGTCCTATATAATAGAGGTTTGCAGAAAGAGATGGATTTAACTATCTAAGAAGAAATGTTTTATATGAGTTTTTTTCATGTGTTTTTGTGAGTACATTTGGTAGGTGGAGGGACGTAGTCTAACTCTTTCGTGGAGCCACTTTTGGTTAATTACTCCCCTGTAAATTGTGTGATTCTGGACTCCTTCTCTGCTGTTCTTGTACGTGTCTCAGGCCAAATACACATGCTGTGATTCTTACGAGACCTGTATGAAGATGCCCTGATTTGTGCAGACTGGCCAGGGGAATACTACTGCCATGTAATCTGTGTTAGCTCCAGATAATTTGCCATGAGTATCGAAAGAATGACCATCCTTTGCATTCGGTTTATCTCTCTTAAGAGCACATTCTTTTTATGTAAGGAGAGGAGTTGCATTGTGGCTAAAATCTGTACAAAGCGGATATTTACTACACTTAGAATAGTGTTGCCTTTGTGGAAATGTTGGAATTCGCTTTCATCTGAAGTGCCTTAAGTAGACTCTTTACTTTTCTAGTAATGGTTTAAATATTATTTGTTATGCATTGTTAAAATACTATTAAAAATGACACATTGTAGTGGCAAAAATAACCAAATGTCTGCCTGTTTGCTTTTTGACGATATCAATAAACTTTTACAATCTAAATTCTGAGTGTTTGTATTAACATCTAAAGAGGGGTGAATTTCGAACATTAACAGAAGTGAATTTGATAGGCCAGTTTCTTTAAGTATTTATAAGGTGAGCTACATTACCCAGGATTCTATACATTATTCTTCATGAGTATGGCCATCCATTAATCCAAACAGCTGAGTAGATAAGTAGGTTGAACTAGCTTTTGTCCCAGTGAACACCATGACTAGCTAATTCCCTTTTGGTACTAAATAATTTATTTGAAAGAGCCAGATGGATTATAAAATTATATGAGACTGGATAGCAGTACATTTGCCAACATGGAGTAGACACACTGGATGGCAAATAAAGAGGTCTGGCTTTTTTTTAATATTCATTTATTTTTCAGAGAGAGGGAAAGAGAGGAAGACAAACATCAATGTGTGGTTGCCTCTCACACACCTCCAACTAGGAACCTGGCCTGCAACCCAGGCATGTGCCCTGACTGGGAATCGAAGTAGCAACCCTCTGTCCATATAGGCCGGTGTGCAACCCACTGAGCCACACCTGCCAGGGCAGAGATCTGACTTTTAAATAGCTTTTAGTCCTTACTCTGTGGATATGTGACCATAGCCAAGTCTCTTGAACATCTCTGGACCTACTTCATTATTTTTTTTCCTTTTTTTTTAAGATTTTATTTATCTTTAGAAGGGAAGGGAAGGAGAGAGGGAGAGAAATATCAATGTTTGGTTGCTTCTCATGTGTCCCCTGCTGGGAAATGGCCCCTGCTGGGAACTGGCCTGCAACCTAGGCATGTGCCCTGACTGGGAACCGAACCGCGATCCTCTGGTTCACAGGCCCGTGCTCAATCCACTGAGCTACACCAGCCAGGGCTGGACCTACTTTATTCTTATGTGAGTGCAGTGAACTAAATTGTAAATCGCCTCAGTGATCCTTCTGGCACTACTGTTTTATGCAAAGTAGTAAAGGTGTTGTTTTAAGTTTTGAGTAGATATCTGTGATTTTCAGGTTTGGTATTGAATTAGATCAATTGAAATGTAGGATGTTTTTGTAATCAGATTTATGAGGAAATTGTGAAATGCTTGTGGAGACCGTTAAGCTGCAAATGTAATAATATGTATTAAATATATTTCAGAAAGGATACACTTGAAACCAATATGTTAATATCACATCTTGATTTAAATGAGTTTTGCCCAATTGTAACCAAGGGTGAGATCAACACCCGTAATAGCTATGCTAATATGATGAAAACTTAAAACCAAAAAGACCTTAATACCATTTAATCAGCCCCTACATTTTGAATGCTAAAGAAAACCTGCCCTGGAGAGGTTAAAATGATTTCCTGAAAGTTATTCCAAGGAAATGCCTACAGGTTTCCCCTTTACTCCAAATTCCCTTTGGATTAGGTTTCTTTTGAAGATGTGAATTACTACCCCCTGGAGACAAGAAAACCATAGGTAATTGACCTTGGTTGCTTCTTGACCTTTGTTTGGATTGCTGGGAGAAGAGTCCTAATGAGACACATTACCCATAGGGTCTGACACTTGGAAGAAGGGAGGAGTTTTATTTAGAAGAGAGGCAGAAACAATAACCTAGAGATTACTCTTCAGAATTTTGTCTTTTTTTAAGATTTATTTATTTATTTATTTTTAGAAAGGGGAAGGGAGGAGGGGAGAGAGAGAAACATCAATGTGTGCTTGCCTCTCATGTGGCCCCCACTGGGGACCTGGCCCACAACCCAGGCAAGTGCCCTGACTGGGAATCGTACTGGCAACCCTTTGGTTCGCAGTCCTCACTCAGTCTACTGTGCTACACCAGTCAGAGCAGAATTTTGTCTTTTACATCTGTTTCACTCTGTTTCCTCAACTTTTCCTGGGTGTAATTAGGGGGAAAATACCCCTGACTGTCAATCATGAAACAGAAATGCAAATCAAAACAATGAGATGCTACCTCACACCTATTTATGATGGCTACTATAAAAAAAAAACAAAACACAAAATTGCCCAGGCTGGTGTACATCAGTGGATTGAGCACTGTCTGTGAACCAAAGGGTTGCAGTTGGATTCCCAACCAGGGCTATGCCTGGATTGCAGGCCCAGTCCCCAGTGGGAGCCACGTGAGAGGCGGCCACGCATTGATGTTTCTGTCCCTCTCTTTCTCCTTCCCTTCCCCTCTCTCTAAAAATAAAAAAAAGAAATAAAATATTTTTTAAAATCTTGCCAAATAAATGTTGGCAAGAATACAGAAAAATTGGAACCATCATTGGGTGTGGGGAATCTAAAACAGTACAGCCACAATGGAAAACAGTATGGAGCTTCCTCAAAAGAATTAAAAATAGAAGTACCCTATGATCCAGCAATCCCACTTCTGGGTACATATCCAAAAGGATTAAAAGCAGAATCTCAATGAGATATGTGTGTACCTATATTTATAGCACCATTATTCCCAATAACCAAAAAGTAGAACCAACCAAGTATTTGTGGATGGGTAAGTAGAAAAACAAAAGGTATATACATACAATAGAATATTATTTAGCCTTAAAAAGGAAAGAAGTTTTGACACACAACATAGATAAACCTTGTCAGGGCACTATGCTAAGTGAAGTAAGGCAATCACAAGAAGTATTATATGATGCCACTTACATGAGGTACCTACAGTAGTCAAATGCATAGTGTTGGTTAAGTGGAGGCAGTCTGGCTTTCTTACCAGGTGTCTGGGTAACCAAGGGAAGCAATATTCCCACAGACTTGCAGGGGCCTAATAACCAGTGTTCTCATAGCCTTGAGACTGGGTCAGATAAACTGTTCCCAAAGGATGAATTGGGCTCTCTTGCGCAGAACTATGTTATGTTATAATAGGTTTTGGCAGTTTTCTGGCTTTGTTCTCCTCTAGTACTTAAACAGGTAGGGGCTTTCCACTAGTGAGGCACACAGTTTGTGACATGCGTAGCTTGCCCATCGTGAATAAAGGCATGTCAAGCATCCCCACGGCTCCACTCATTTTCTTCCATCTACCGGAGGATCTGCCGGGCCTTGATCTGTTGCAACACACACAGAGACAGAAAGTATTGTGCAATGGTGGTTGCCAGGGGCTGAGGAAAGGGATAATACAGTTATTATTTATTGGGTATAGAGTTTAAGTTTTGCAAGATGACAAAAATTTAAGAGGCTTGTTGCACAGCACTATGAATGACCTTAACGCTACTGCAATGTACATTTCAAAATTGTGAAGTTAATAAATTTCATGGGTTTTTTTTTTACTACAACTCAAAATCAAAGCAAATGCTAATGCCTCAGCAGCTCCAGCCCTATATTGGCATATCCTCAGTCACTTCATGCTCGATCATTTTTTTGAAAATGTGAGTACAGCTGGATGGAATGTGACTCAGTGGTGGAAATATTGAAGCATGGCCTTCAGGCTCTTTTCAGTGACAACTGAAGGACATTCAGATAAACCCTGCGCGCAGTCAGTGATGATCAGTGTGACCCAATGAGTGCTTCATAAATAATGACTTTCAGCTGGAATGAAACCTCATTAAGATGTGTTAGCCCCACCCAATATCCAGACTTAGAAATTGTCCATTTTGTCTGGGCTTTTCAGTGTATCATGCCTGGCCCTGTCTGTGTGGCAAACAATTGTAGCTAGAGAACTCTGGGTCTTAAGTTCTTTTTATGATACTCAAATAAAGTAGATGAAATGTTTTCTCCCTGTCTTCTCATTTCTGGGAAGCTTTCCTGACCTCCCAGTTTGGGTTCTATAGCCTTCCAATCTTTGGTGCATGCTGATCTCTGTTATTCTAATTGCCCTAGACCTTCCCTAAACTGTAAGCTCCTAGGAAACAAGGGTTTGTCTTACCCATTTCTGTGTGGTCATTTTCTAAAAAGCCTGAATAGTACAGGCTCAGTAAAACGTCACTGACTAAATAAAGAGAAAAAAAAAGTCTTTACTCTCAAATGGCTCACTGTGTTGTACTGGGAACAAATGTGGAAGCAAAAGCAATTCTTCCCACTAGTGGGAAAACGATATACTGTGAGCACAGAGAAGGGTTTGATTGCTTTTTTTGGATTGGGGTGGAAGGGAAAGGGAGAGGCTTTTGTGACAGGAATTGAAATGTTAAAGGATGGTTAGTTCACAACTTAGATTTTTTTTAAGTACTGAAATGCCAAAATATTATCAGTATATCATTTCAGTACTTTAAAAAAATCTGAAGTCATAGTCATTTACATCCTGACTCATACCCAAAGACTTACATGGTACTCACAAATTTCTAAATGAACAAAAATGTACTACTTTAAAAACATTCTTGCCCTGGCTGATGTGGTTCAGTGGATTGAGTGCCAGCCTACGAACCAAAGGGTTACTGGTTTAATTTCCAGTCAGGGCACATGCCTGGGTTGCAGGCCAGGTCCTCAGTAGTGGGCGTGTGAAAGGCAACCACACATTGATGTTTCTCTTCCTCCCTCCCTTCCCCTCTCTCTAAAAATGAATAAATAATTATGCCCTCACTGGTGTGGCTCAGTGGATTGAGTGCCAGCCTATGAATCAAATTGCTGGGTCAATTCCCAATCAGGGCACATGCCTGAGCTGTGCACTAGGTCCTTGGTTGGAGACCTGTGAGAGGTAACTTGTCGATGTATCGATCACATACCCATGTTTCTTTCCCTCTCTTTCTCCCTACCTTCCCCTTTCTTTAAAAATAAATAAAATCTCGTTTTAATGTTTTTTCTATATAAACTTGATATTCTTTTTATGTGTTTTATTGTTTTTTGTTTAATTATTTTTCAAGTACAGTATTCTGAATCTTTAAAAAATAATAGAAATGAATAAATAAAAAATGTTAATTTTTAAAATTAATTAATTTATTTTTTAAATTATTTTTCAACTACAGTATTCTTTCTTTTACTCCCTTCCCAGCCCCCCCCGTGCCCCCCACCTTCCTCCCCTTTCCACCCCCCTTAGTTGTTGTCCATGTGTCCTTTATGCTAGTTCCTTAAATAAAATCTTTAAAAAAACAT